CCAGTCATGGTAGCAGTCTAATGTGGCTGACTTTAGGGACATTGGATCCCTGTGTAGAGGCTCTCTTTTAGGAATTCCATGGCCCCAGATTGTGGGCTCTTCCTCCCGTTCCAGCCAGGGGCTGTTTCTCTCCATGAGCTGCCCTGGGGGCTCAGTGCTGTTTGATACAGAGCCTTGCCCTGTGCCCCAGTGACCTTGGCAGTGCCAAACACCCCAAGCATCACACTGGGGGACAGTTTGCCACTTTGTTCAAGGCTAAAACACAGAAAGTCATTATTGGCAAATACATCTCATCCTTGATCCTCTCCTCGGAGGTTTTTCCTTCTGCCTTTGGTGCTGTGGTGGTGGGAGGTGGTGGGAGAAGGGCAGGAGGTGTTTGCCCTGTCCCAGGGCTGGAGCTGCACTCACACACCGGGCAAAGAGAAACCAAAAGCAAATGTTAAAAAAGAGAAATCCAGTAATAAAAGAGCGCTGTGCAAATCTTAAGGTATTGGAAGAATTAGGGTGAAATAGAAAACTCTCCAAAGTGCTTGGTGTAGAGAAAACCCAGTGGAAAGGTTTGTTTCATCCATCACAGCAAACTGGCTTTCTTGCCTCGGCCTGAGGAAGCTGGAGCCGTGTTATTTGTGGGAGAGAGCAGTAATTCATGTAAGAGGAGATCTCCACCACATTCAGCTTCTCATTTTTCCTTGGTAAACCAACCTTGAAACTTCTGCTTGTGGAAAAACTTGTCAAATCTCATCACCCTGAGCTACGAAAAGACGTGTGATGTGACAGTGGGGGTTTGTCTCCCGTGCTGGACAAATGCCAGCGTTCTGTTGGCCGAGGCCTGTGCTCTGATACGATGCCGTACGGGTCTTTGGTTCTCTGATTTTTTTAGCTAGTGTTGGAACTGCAGTGGTAGGAGGCAGACACAGGATCCTGGATCCCGGTTTTGTGAGTGTTGCAAAGCAAGGGCAGAGCTCCAGCAGCTGGGGAGGGGAGGGTTTTCTCTGGTATAGCTTTGTGCCTCAGTCACCTGGGGCAGTGCCACTCTGCATGGAGCCTGGGGGCTTCCCTGCTCCTTCCTTGCTCTCCTGGGTAGTACCAGTTTTATCTTGGGCCTGTGGTGTTGGAGAGGGAAGAGCGTAGGAAGCTCTGGAGAAGCGACTTTTGAGGTCTTTGAGCCTCGGTAAGATGTGAGCTGTGTGTAGATGAGCCTGTTGGGTGGGCAGGGATGGGTGGTCAGACAGGGATGGAGATGAACAGAGGTGAGAAAGAAGGTGTCTTGAGTATGGTTACAGAGATTGTGTGGGAGCAGGAGAAGATCAGCACTGAACCTGCACTGCAGTCCCTCAGAAAACAGCGTGGGGGAGCTGAGCCCGAGCCTGAGTGTTGGTGTGTCTGCAGTTTGCAGTGGGACATCCTGGGGCACCCCAGTCTGCTCTGTGACCTTGTTATAAGGGCTGTCTGGGTGGCAGAATTGTGTTAATCCACTCTCTCATCCATGTACCCTGTCTCATAAATGATTTGTTTCATAAATTTAAAAATACAGAGAAAATAAATGTTAACACATTCTTTTTTTCTTTTTCTTTCCTTTTTTTTTTTTTTCAATGAACTTGCTCGCTGGCTGAGCCGTGACCTTTGACAAACTGCTTTGGCTCAAGTGGCAGCATTTACACAACACTGTCAAGTATTGTAGCTCTCTGAGTAAGTCCTGGGGTTGTAGAATCAACCCCATGTATTTCCCTTTCATTTCATGTGCTCAGAGTGATTTGCTTCTTTATTAAACACAAAATTGGATTCATCTCTGAGGGGATGGTCAGTGAAAGTGGAACTGGTGTGTTTTAATAGCAGACTCATATTACTTGTAGTTAATTGGAAGGATGCTGCTGGCAAGTTCACAAATGTGTAGGAGAACAAGATTATCCTGATGCTTCAAAGAGAAAGTATTTTGTATTGAAGACTGAGATTTGTATTGTGATTAGGGAAAGGGAAGTTTCTGTGAGAGGGCAGCTTTTTTCTGATGCAGTGGTTAATTTGGATTTCATTTGTTCTCATAGCTTTGTTGTAAGACAAATAATGGGCAGGTAACAGAGAGCACTGTGGCACTGGCAGGATGGATAATCCTTGAGAAGGGTGAGATGTATTTTTATTGCAAGGAAAATAGGAACACACTGAGTTGGAATCTTAGTTGAAGTACCCAAGTGTTAGAAGCAGTGTGTGTGGGAGTGTTGTCCCTTCCCTGACTCCCCAGCCAGGAGGTGTTCAGGTGTGCCAGTGCACTCTGTGACCGTGTTCCTGTGGAGTCCCTTATTGTGCACATTCCAAATCTCCATCATCACTAGGGCACTTGAGGTTCTGTCCCAGCCCCTGCTGAGCAGATAACAGACCCCAGAGCACCGTGCCCTGGTGCTCTGTTGTTAAACTGATGACACATCTTTCCTTGCACTGGAAATGCTTTAATTAAGTCAAACCCAAATGTACACAACCAACAAGGGTGTGTCACAGGTAAATGTGTTATATGGTTTCTTAAGGGATAAAATGAACTCCAGAGGTAGAATTGCTCTGGAGTTTATTAATTCCAAGCTTGGGAATATGTAAATACCACGTGATTATGAGAGTTCATTGCTCCAAGTGCCTCTTCAGCTCATAATTAGTTTCTAATGCTGGCTGCAAGAAACCCTTTGATCCATTTTGAGCTTTGGTAGCCACGCTGGGTGTGTTGGCCTTGAAGAAGCAGTGCTGTCTGGTGTGGAGAAGAGTCAGGGTGGGATTTGTGTCAGCAGAACACCAGAGACTCCATCTGCCAGGTCACAGCTGCCCAGCACAGCGACTGGGCTGCCAGGGATTCTGGCTCCTCCAGCCTCCTGTTGGCAGCACAGTTCAGAGCTGCTCATGTTTTGAGAGAATGAACCTACTGTTGTTGGGGCTTGTCCTACAGTATTTCTAGTGAATATTGCAGAACCATTTCTGTTAAAAGAATAAAAGGTTTACAAGTGTCATAACAGATCCGAAATAGGGGCAAGAAACATAGAGACTTTATTATATTAGAACATCTGAAAGTTAAAGTTTTGCTGGCTAATATTTAGCATTAACACATGGCATTGATCCTGCTTGGAACTGCTAAGATTGATTTTTAGAGCTTTACCTTTTGAAAATTGTATTCAGTGTCATCTTCAGTTATGAGGCTTGTGTTCACAGACATGCTAATTACATGCTAATATTTATTACATGCTAATATTTAAAATCAGGCTGTGTTCCAAACAGGAATTTTTTTGATGTGTGTGTCATTGCTGAAATCATACTTTGACTTGGATTCTGCTTTTCTGAATATTCCATTTCACTGCATGATCTTTTTTTCTGAAGTTATTCAGTGTCAAAGATAAAACCTGAAGTGTTTAGTCACTGGGTTTACATTCAGAATTGTTTGGTGGGAATTGCCCTGCTCTGTTAGCTGACAGAAATTAGTATGGCAGGTGCTCTCCTAATGAGCATGTACCAATTGAGAGAGACTTTCCAACCAAGTGTGAGGTTTTTTATTAAAATAGTTTTGCTTTGTTTTAATCCATTTTAAAACTTAAATTTGCTGCTGTATGTGGCAAATGAAGCAGGAGGGATATTATGCTTTAATTAAGATTACTGCTGGTGTTGGTGAGAAAAGTTGTAACTTCTTTCAAAATCCTTCTTCATTTTGTTAGTTTTGTTGAAGGAAGCAAATACAAACCAATGGATGAAGCACACACTGAAATTGGCCAAGAAGAATTTAGCAGAAATTGATTTTTATTACGGTTTTTATAATCTCTTAAACTTTTATTTGGACAAAACATTTAAATTGTGGTATATTTGGCTCTGAGGAAACCATCTCCTTTAGTTTCTCCCTCTCAAACTGAAGTGACTCCTCCAGTCTCATTAGAATATTGTGGCAGAGCAAGGAGAGAATTCCTTCTGAAAAATGTAAGTGGGTGGGTGGAAGTGGTTGTCTTAAAATCCAGAGCAAAACAGTCTGAAGGCCTTGGAAAACAAAAAAAAAAACCCAAACCCAACCCATCCGTGCCACTGTTTTGTTTTCCCAGTTGTGTTTGGGGAGCTCTGGGGTTGACCCGGCCCGTGTGAGTTGTGTGCTCCGTGGGAGCTCCCAGGGGCATCTCGTGCTGTCTGTGCTGGCTCTCAGTGGCAGCTCACAGTGAGCTTTTATTTTTATGCAGTTTAGTTTTGTCCACTGGGCAGATTTCTTTAGAGTACAGTGAGTTTGCATTTCATCCTAAATGGTGAATTAAACTCTGCATGTGTCAGCTCTGCCAAATATCTCCTGAATTCAGTGTCACCAGCCATTATCCCAGTTACATGTTTGTGTTTGCAGCCCCAGGAGGTTTTCCTTCCTCTATGAGCTGTTTGTTTTATTGTCTTCGAGGGGAATGATAAAATATGTTTTTATATGAAATGCAGCATATTGATGATTATAAACTTGAAAAAGGCAGGCATTTTTGGAGACTGGTAGAGATCCTGAATCTATTCTGTTTGGAGTTGATTTAGATCTCAGTTGGTTGTGCATTTTAAGTAATGTCTTCATTGAAATGTCTTTCACAGTCACATGGCATTGATATTATGTGATTGTGCTTGAGGTTGGCCAGTAGACAAATGCATTCCATCTTCTGGTTTTGGAATAGCATATCATGAGTGCAAAATGGGATAAAATGTTTGAGGTGCTGCTTGCATATTGAGCCGATGGCCTGAAGGGGTTTCCTGCTTTTTGGGGTGTCCTGGTCATTTTGATGTTAAGGCTCCTTGTAATTTTGCTGAAATGCCCTTTGTTGAACGGCACAAATCCAGAGTCCTGCACTGCTTTGCATTTGTTTCTGCTCCTTAGACAGTGCCCTGCTGTAAACTAAAATCACACATTCCTGAGCGCAAACTGATCGTGTTCCCGATGGAAATTTCAGGAATACTTGTGGCTACTTTCAAAATGCGGAAATCTATTTATATTTTTTTTTTCCCCCCCCGCTTGTTTTTCTTGCCAGGTTTTGGCACTGACCGCCTTCATCTGCATCGAGACCATCATGGAATGCTCCCCCTGCGAGGGCCTGTACTTCTTTGAGTTTGTGAGCTGCAGTGCCCTCGTGGTTACCGGGGCTCTCCTGCTTTTGTTCAGTCTGAACCTTCACACCAGGATACCACAGATCAACTGGAATCTCACTGTAAGTTCCTGCACTTCACTCTGGGAAAAATAGCCGCAAATCTGGCTTAAGTTGGGTCTCTGAACTTTACTTTCTGCTCTTGTTTGTGTCCTTTGTGCTGAGTAAAGTATGCATTTGACTTGGATTTATTTTGAATGCCAACAGCAGCAGGAGCTTTGAAATGTAGCAGGATTAAACTGCACTGACTAGAACTAAAATTGACTTCTGGTAGATTCTCTTTGGAAGGAAAAACTTCCTGCAAATGCCAGCAATTACTCTTTGTGGATGAAGTGGATAAAAACGCAGCCTGTGGTTATTTAACTTTGACAGAGGCTGTATTTACAGTAGCCTGTTGTTCTCTCTTAACCTGGGGGGGTTTTGTATTAGGACAAATGTGCTTACATGTGTTTTCTTACACAGATTAATACAATGATGGGGTAGGAGTGTAGAAAATTCTGAGTTTTCTGTGAAAATCAGGTGAATTGTTTACACACATAGCTATTAAACAGTGAGTGCCAGTGCTTAATGTGTTCTCAGGTCCGAGGAGGCTGAGGGAGAGAAGTGCTGGCAGTGCACATTCCTCTTGTACAAGTCTCTATTTTCATGCTGTATGAGGAGTTAAACTTTCAGATGGCGTTGCATAAACACAGGTCACAAAATCAACATGTTAAGTCACTCCAGCAGAAGATCTGTCAGCTTCAAGGACAGTATATCAGCTTCTCTGGATGGTATAGATAGAGTTGTGCCAATGTTCTGGTTTATAACAGTAATTTTATAAATACTGCTGGAGTCTCAGAGGTTTTTAGGCTTCTGTGTGGGTTTTTTTGGTTAATTTTTTTTAATGTAATTTATTAATGTTGCAATTTGCTTCGTTTCTAAGCCTGAATGACTTGTCTAAAATGAGAGTGGAATGTGAAATTAGATGATCCTTTGTGCTCTGGGGCTGCTTAATCTACTGATGAGCTCCACAGAGCCTTGGTATGTAGATTAGATGGACTGAGAGCTGGGACTGGCAGCTGGAGCTGGGGCAGATCCAGGTGGCTTGCACAGCCAAACCAGTGGAACCCCTGGAATGTTACTGGGTTGTCTTGCCCTCGTTCCTTTTGTTTCCACTGTGCCTCTGCTGGCAGCACAGCTCTTCGCAGCCAGGCTGGAAAGCAGCAGGGTTTGTGTTCCTGATGGCAGCCTGGGTGTGACATGAGCATCACAACAGCCCATCCTTTATGGCAGAGGTTCTGCACGTGCTGGTGGGATGTTGAGGAGCAAACCACGTGTGTGTAAGTGCAGCAGTGTCCATAAAAACCGTGTTGGTTTTGCTGGTGTGACAGGAGTGGTTCCACAGGTGTCATGGTCTGATCCACTCAGTGATCTTCCACACACGGCAGGGGGTTTTTTAGTGGTCTGATTTGTAGGGAAAGGAGGGCTTCAAAATCCAACCAGCTGTGTTTGGTTTTTTTTCTTTCCCCCTTTGTTTTAAAAGAGTATTTTGGTTTTTGGGCAGTGGTCACTCTGCCTAAGAACACGGTCAGAGCTCAACCCAGAGAGCACATGGAATACACTGCAAGTGCCTTTGCTTTAGTTCCTATTCCCAGATCCACGGAGGGGGAAGGAAATGGTCACAATCCCACAAGTCTCAATCTTTTATGGGCACTGAAGGTGAAATCCTTCTCTCCTCATGATCCCAAAGGTGTCCACCACAGTGAGAAGGGAGCTGGAAGCTTGTGTCTTCCCATGACTGAGGAGACCATCCTTCTTCCTCCTGCATTTCTTACCGATTTCTGACTGATTTAACAATCGTTTGTTAAATGCTACTCTGTTTCTGACAGGAGTGAAGGAATATCTTCATTAATCAGGAGGATTGAGGACCATTCTGTGATGCTGCAGCAACTCTGCTGTTGAACATACAGAATGTGAGATCAGAGACTGCTGCCAAAGCACATGTGGGAGATCACTTTGGCCAAATTAGGAGGAAATTTAAGAATGTGTAGGGTTGTGACTGATTTTTGTTTTGTTTTTACTTATTTTGGCATTTTATTCTTTACAATTTAGGTGTGTATTCATTCATTTGCTTCTGCCGATGTTTATTCCTTTCCTGTGTTTGATGGTGGTTTTATAAATGTGCAGCCTCTGTATGTGGCACAGTTACTGCAGGAGTTGCTTTCTGAGCAAGACTTTGACACCCCTGAATGCTTTAGGAGGAAGTCACTCCTGCTTATGTATAAATTCATCGACATGCATGCTTTTAAAAATATATATGGCTTTGGAATGGCAAGTCTCAAACGTTGCTTTTAGAAGCTGTGTGAGAAGGGGCTGTTACAGTGCTTGCAGGAATTTAATAGTCTTGCATTTAGGAACAAATATTTCTTTTAAAACAGCACTTATTCCTAGGAACCATTTGAAACTATTTGCTTTCAAATGGTCCTACATAAGAGAAAGTTCGTGGCCATCAACTGCCATTGTCCAACACAGGATTATTTCCTTTCAAAGTGGATTAAAATTAGAATTCTTTCTCATGCCTTGTGGATATTGTCTGATGTCCACTATTGGAATGAAAACATGGATCTGTATATGATCCTCTAACAGATAGGCAAATTTGCTGATTTTTTAAAATACATATTTTTAGCCATTTGGGAAGAGAGATTTGTTTTGATCCTAATTAGAGACTTGCCAAAAATTTTCCTATTTTCCTGAGGAAAACATGCAAGAAACCTGGAGATGTTGAGGCCAGAAAAGAGCCCTGCTTGGGTGTGTTGGAAAGAGGCCGGTTTGTTCAGGAAGATGAAAGAACAGTCACTTGTCTGTGTCGTGCAGCACTATCAATGTTATGCAAAAATGCAAAAGCTGGGGAACCTGTCAGTGGAAATTTCCATTTCCTTTATGCCTCTCAGCTCACAGGGAGCCCATTCTGCAGGGAGACAAGGGCCAGGGGAATGGGGAGCGCAGCAGACACTCCTGCTGAACCACTTCTTCAGTTATTAATTAAGGACTGGGTGTTTGATGTAATCCTGGGGTTGGTTAAACGATCCCTCCTTTCTAAAATTCACCACTCCAATCTCATGTGATGTGCAGGGAGAGCTTAAGAAGTGGCAGCCAAGCTGTGTGCACGAGCTGGCCCTGCAGGATCAGCCAGTGGAATGAGCTATTTGTGTGCAGGGGGAAAAGAAATCTTCCCAGAGATTTCTTACCGTTGATTTTTTTAATTTTGTTTCTTAATTTTTCTTCTTTTTGAAGCACTCACTGGAACTCTGGTGGTGTATCTGGTGTGAATGTAGAGCATTTCAGCCTCGAAAGTGAGGCCTGAACTGGGCACAGCCCAAAATCGGAGCTCCACTGGGCTTGTTGGGCTGGACTGAGTGCCAGGGAGGAGGCACAGGGACCCAGGTGTGTGTGTGGGAACACACAGATCAGTCCTCGTGCTTTGTGCTGCCTCAGAACTGATTTCAGCATCTCTGCAGGGTTGTTGCTGCTGTTGTTGCAGCAGTGAAACCTTGTGTGCAAGCACTGACACTTGGAGGAGTTGGCAGAAAATTCTCCGTGGGGCCAGAATGACCAAGTGTCTTCTGCCAGCCTTGGCTCTGAGAGGTGGAATCACAAAGCTGCAGTTCAGAGAGCCTTCACAGGACAGTCTTGATTTAGATTTTTATTTTTAATTTATTTTCCCCCCTTCTGTTTTGATAAAACAACTTGCTTTTCTTTGGCTTGCTTAGCTGTTGAATGAAAAGTTAAATGAGTCACCCTTGACCTCTCTGTTTACTGCTCTCAAAATAGCAATACCCATTGAGGACAAAAGTGAATATTTAATAAATTTTAAAAAATTGTCAAAATCAATTTCCTCCAGATTAATGCTCTTCATGGACTGCTCTCATGTGGTGCAGTGTGGTTTAAATGATAAGTTATTCTGAAACAAATGCAATCTCAGGTTTTAAAGACAAGAAATATGACATGTTTTGGTAGTTGTTGCAACTATGGTCTGTTGCTTTGTGACAGTAACTGATGGTCCTGTGTCCATGTACAGGGCTGTTTGTTGGGAAAACACACAGGGAAGGCAGTGAGGAACTGAGGGGGAGATGGGGAGGTGATTTACAGGAGACCAAAGTGAAATGGGAATTGTAGAAGCAGTCATTTATTCATTCAGCAATGTGTTCTGTGACTTGCAGTAGAGTGACTGCATCTGACAGAGTCTGTCCTCCAAAAATACATAGAAGTAAGAATAAAATAATCCAAATATTGGTTTTGAGGCCACCTCTCCCATTTCTTCAAAAGCACAGCTTGTTCCTCAGCTTTTTGACTAAGGTTTTGGAAGTCACTTGTGTTATACGGGGTTTTTTTGCATATTTGCTGGAGATGCTGGAAGTAGAACTGATTTCCAGCAGGTGCCAGACACCTGGGACTGGATCAAAGCACCTGAACAGGAGAATCTTTACAGTGAATCCAGCCCTGGGGGTGCCTGGCATGCCTTGGGAATTGCTGGTCGTGGACTGTTTATTGGCCTTGTGTGTATCTTGTGCTTCAGCAGAGGCTCCCAAACCTGGGTAAGCCTAAATAAATAAGGAAAAAAGGAGATGGGAATTCATGCTCATACTGTTAATTTGATTCTTTCTACCTAGGACTTATTTTTAATTGCAGTGCAAAATACTCCAGAAGTGTTTAATAATATGATTTCAGAGCAAAATTGTGAGAGTTTGACCAGAAGTGCTTGGTTTGGAGGACTGACTGGTGTGTTTGTAACCTTCAACCTGAGAACTTCATATGGAAGCAAGGGGGAAGTTCCCAAACCTTGCAAGTAAAGTAGTGGTTGGAGGAAAAATGAGGGGCATTGTGAAAAAAAAAAATAAATTAAAAATTCATAAGCACACTCCCCCTTCCTTCCCCTGCCAACTGAGAAACAAACCAGCAAACCCAAAGAGAACTGAAAGGAAATGTCACTTCGAACTCTCCCGTGGAAGAGAACCTGGACACCTTTTGTGGCAAAATCAGGCTGCTGAAATGTGCAGGCTCCTCTTCCAGATTACAGCCATTTAGCTGCTTTAAACTCCATCTGAATGGACATTTTTGGAGTTCAGAAGGCCAGTTTAAAAGCATATTTTTGTGTCTCCAAGTTGCAATATGGCACTTTCTGCCTTTTAAGGAGTACCTGGTTGCTTATTTCACCACCAAATACAGAATGTGAGTGAATGTTTCGTAGAAGTTTGCGTGTGTGAAGTCATGGGGAGCTGTGGATAGGGGCATGTGGGCATTACTGGAGCCCCTGAGCAGCAGAGCCAGTTCCTGGGGAAGCACCAGGCTGGAGGGCTGAGCAGAAGCTGTCAGAGCTGATGTGCCTTGCAGCTTTCAGGAGTTACTTCATGAGGCTCTTCAGGTGTGTTCTTAGCACCAATTCCTCTTTTCCATCCTTGCTGATCAGGAACCAAAGGGGCCCACACCCCTAAAAATGAAAGAATCATAGGATGGAGTTTCCTACCTTTACAGCAGAACAAAAGCATCACCTTTTTTGGCATAAAACACTTATCTTGGCATCAGCCCATCTTCACCCACAGGTTATGGCCTGTCCTCTGCCTTGTGCTCCTTCTGAGTGGGACAGACACCGGGAACATGTGGGTACCCTCCTTGGATACCCTCCTGGGGACTGGCAGGGCCTTGGGTGGCTGGACACAGTGACTCAGATGGGACTCGATGATCTCGAGGTCTTTTCCAGCCTCGGTGGTTCTGGGACTTGCAAGTCCGTTGTTCGTTTTCGATCATTTGGGACAGGAGAGAGGGAGCAGGAGCAGCCTGGAGTGGCTCTGATTCAGCTCCCAGCTCTGATTCTGTTGTGGATGGCAGCTCTGCACAGTTCTGTGGCACAGCACACTGTCTCATGAGGTTGCTGCAGTTTCAGCAGAAATTCTTCTACCTCTGTGATGTGGTTTTACTTTGTCTATAAATATAATAGCAAGAACTTCAGCTCCAGCCTGGCCAGATTTGAAGCAGCTCATCTTTTTTCAATTAGTTTATTCTTATTGTCACGATTATTCCTGTTCTCTTAGGTGGAAAAAAGCTGCATTGTTTTAAGGAGTGTCCTTTACTTCTTGAATTCTTGCTGTACTTTGTTTTCTTTTGTTTCTTCTCTGTGTCCAAAACCATTGTGGTTTTTTTTTCCTTTTCTTATCTTTCTGCTCAAATTTTGGATTTAAAACCTCCACTGGCATTTCCATCTGTGATGTTGCCATTATATATCTGTAGGACAGTGTTACTGGTAAGCATCACTGCTCCTCAAGCTCTAAACAATCTGATCTGTGGATATAAAGGATCACAGTGGTTTTAGCTTTTTAAGAAACCAGCCTTTATTGTACAAATGTGAATCAGTTGTTAACTGCATTAAAAAGGTTTGAGCTAAACAGGAAAAATGGAGCTGCAGACATGAATAAATTGGAACCTGAAGATCAGTTCTTTAGATTTGCATTGTTGAGCTGTTTGCAAGGACAAACTTTATTCTTATGTAAAAAGCACCATAAAATACGATGCCAGTGATGATGACAAGTTTCTAATGTGCTTACATCAAAGTACATGGGGGAAAGCATTTTATATTCTGAATTGCATATTCATTATTTTATATATTTTATATTCTGCAGTATCTCAGACTTCTTAGAGAAGCCTTCAGGTCAGTTTGTAGCCCGGAGATGGCTCATTATGTGTGTTGTGTTGTGCTGTGGGGAGGCCTGGTCATCTTGCTGATGCTCTGGAGAGGTGCTCAGGCTGACAGACTCAAAAAGTTAGAGGTCACCAGGGTTAATTAATAAACACATCTGAGCTCACAAATCAGGCAGCATTATGTGCCATCCACTTGACCTTTAAATTTGATAGTAAGGAAATACAAAATGTGGCTCTGAAGAAACACAATGTGGATTATAAGAAGTGAAAAGGTCGAATATTAAGCACGTCTTTGGCTGCTTGTTCTGTTGGCTAGCTCCCTTAAATTAAAATAAAACTCACTTCATTTTGAACATGACTTGTGCCTTAACTTTGCAGCTGTTAATTTTGTTGTGCTGTTTGATGTTCAGCTTTGAAAACATCTCCTATTTTTTGATCATTTGAGCACTGGGTTCTTCCCGTACACAGCTCAATCTTTTTAATATTCAAAGCAGTTTAGGTTCTTTTGAAACTGTGAGAAAATTTCTCCTCCTTTGGAATAACTTCTGTGGCTTTTCTCTGTAACCTGTCCAATTTTTCAGCATTCTTTTAAAACTATGGATCCAGGAGCAGGACTCAGCATTCCAGTGTCCCTTGCAAAGATGAGGTTACCACTGGACACTCCTCGTGTAGTGGGAGTTCCCCTCTAGTGGAACAAAGGTTTGTGCAGATGAGAAGCACAGCTCTTATTGGCAACTGCAGAAGCACAATTAGAGCTGTCAGCTCAGAGCTGGAGAGGGGATGCTTGGAGAAATTGGGAAATGTCAGTTGTTTTCTAATACCTCTATTTATAGAAAGGTTTTTATCTCTGCAAACAAGAAGTTATATGATTAAAACTGCAATAACTAGTTGATAGAATTCCAATTTGGCTTGATGTCTTAAGGGCTGGATAACATCTGTCTCAGTAAGCTTGAGCAGGGATTTTTTTTTCATTTTATGGTGGGAGTTGGCATGTTCAGTGTGGTTTGGTTGTGTGTTTGGGTTTGTTCTTTAGCTCAGGCCTGTAAGTTGCCCAGCAATCTTGTGTACAGGTTCTCTTTCCACCCTTTTACCTCTGGATAATATTCAGTTCTTATTGGACAATATTCACTTTTCCCTGACTTGGTGTTCCTCCAGGATGTTTGTGCTGAGCTGCCATTTCTTGGTTCCTCCACCCTGACCTCACCTGTTATTCCATTCCCAGGGTAGTCTTGTGTTGAGGTTTGGGAATGATATTCCCAGTTCAGTGGGAGTGTGCAGTGTCCATCCAGATCAAGTGTTTTAAACTTGTGAAAGAAACCCTGAGTAACACAATTCCCTAATGAATCTCCACTCTGTTTCTTCCATTATTTTAAACCCTTGATTTTTTTTTTTCCCAAGTCTGATCAGGTAAGTCTTGTATGGTATAATTATTATAATTATATAATATATAATAATAATTATACAATTATTCAGAATTCTTCCTTCTGCTAATGACCCTGTTTATGTAAGGCATGGTAACATAATCACCTCAACACCAGTGACATGTGCAGCATTTGGATCACTGAATTGTGTGTAGCAAGTTGTTTTTCCCTGCTTGGAGCAAAAGAAGAGTTTTCTGAATGTGTTGCTGTGCATATGTTCTAAAATGTCTGCTTGAAACATGAGTTTTAGGCAGTAAATAGGTAAAAATCTGTGTGTTCTTACCATACAGGCAGCTGTTACTCACAGAAATGGCACAGGGCGTGCAGTTTTATACAGTGAAGGGCTCAAAAATGTGTGGAAAAGCTCCTGGGTGCTGATGTGAGAGAGAACCAGGGGATCCTGGAGTGCTCAGGTGTGACAGTCAGGTTACTTCAGTGCCAGCTGAGGTAGAGCAGCTTTAGTTGTTGTTTATCCTTTAGGATGAGCCCAGGAGAGATGGAATGAGGTGTGCAGAGGCTGCCCTGGTGCTCTGTGTCTCAGGGCACAGCCCAGTGCACTCTGATCCTGTGCCTTTTGTACAAGTGATAACTCCATAAAAGTGGGCAGGTATTGCTCTGGTTCTTGTTCTGACCTTCTGTGTTGTCACTTCTAATGAAAGGAAGCAAAGAATGATCATTTAGTAATGCTAATGAATTTATTTTTTTAGGATCTGGTCAACACTGGACTCAGCACTTTCTTCTTTTTCGTTGCCTCTGTAGTACTTGCTGCTTTAAACCATAAAACTGGAGCAGAAATTGCTGCTGTGGTAAGAACTTGAACTTCTTTATATCTAACTCTTACATCAGAAGTGAAGATTAACTTTTATTCATTCATTGAATACACCTGTTGCCTTTGCTGTCACAGCTGACTTCTAATTTTACAGTTTGCTCTCGGATAATTCTTATTTTAAGAGTATTAACGTCCTTTGAGCTGTTTGTCTTGAGGCTTGAGGCAAGAACAGACAGAAGAGCACTTGCAGAGAACACTTTACAGTTGAACTGGCCTTGCTTCTTCCTATGTAGCCAGCTTAGGTGATCCTGCTCTGTTTTGCAAGCCTATGGAAAAGGCAGACCCAAACATTCAGAAGAAATTGTAGCTTTTTACATGTAATTTGCTGAGTATTTGCTCACTACAGATGATTTTTTTTTGTGGAGTGAGTATAGAAGCGCTTCAAGGTTTTAAATCTACAGCAGTCAGTTCAAGCAAATTAATTTTGTGCTTGAGTTGCCAACCTTTTTAATTTTCCTTTTCAAACCTGGTTTTGAAAACCAAACATGAATTCTGCAGGAGCATAAAGGAAGAACTGCAGAGTAGCTCCTGCTCCAGGCCAGTGCCTGGACTGGTCAGCTGCTGTCATTGCCTCGCTGCTGTGCACCCTCAGCAATGAGCTGCTGGGTGAAGAGCTGTTTCCCTCACCACAGGGTCTTCCTCCAGGGTTTCATTGTCATGTTGGTAGCCAGGGAACTTTGTTTCCTGGGATCAGTGCTCTTAGTCACTTTTGCAGATTCTCTAGTTCACTGACAAAGTTCAGCATCAGTTTTCCAGGCCCTGATGATTTGTCAGCGCAAACAGTGTGGAAAACCAAACTTCTGAGGGCCTGGTTGGGAAGCTGCTTTTCCTCCTGTTCTCCAGAAGCGTCTTTGACAGTTGTTTGTGCTTGCTGTAGGTGTTTGGTTTCTTGGCAATGGCGGTGTATGCTGTGAACACGTTCCTGGCCGTGGGGAAGTGGCGGGTGAGCAGCAGGCAGCAGAGCAGCCGGCAGACCAGCGACTACATCCGCGCTCGGACAGAGTCCAGGGAGGTCGTTCACCGCCCGGAGATCCAGCGCCTGGACGCGTGACACGCCCTCCAGGGGGACTGCAAAGGGAAGAGAAGTGCTTGACTCCCTCATGGAAGAAGGGTTTTTTCTTTATTTGCAGAGGAAAAGGAAGATCCGAGGGTGGCAGAGGATGCCCAGCCCTGCGTGGGTGCCGCTGAGCGGGAAGCTGTTGGCTGGAGGCAGGAAATGGTCGTTCCAAAGGAAGATCCATTCGAGATCTCTACATATGTATATGCATATATTATATAGCTATATAATATATTTTATATATATGTTCTGAAGTGTGTTCTGGATTAACTGCACAGTAGTTTCCTTCCCTCCCTGGAGATCCATGTTCTTCGTCTGCCGCAAACACTCGAGACCAGCACAAACCAGCACGACCTTGGTTGGCTCATGCAGGAGAGGAATCCACCAAAAGTGATTTGAAACCCCCCCAGAAGGAGGTGAGGGGCCAACAGCAATAACTTCAGCCACGTACCCTGTCCAGCAAACTGTGCCAGTCCATCCCCACACGGCCCCAGGGCAGGATCTGCACGCTCAGCCCCAGGAGGGGGAAGGCACTGCGGGGGTCTGGGGATGAGTGCTGGGTGGTCACTCTGGAGGTGCCCCCTGGCCAGCTCTGAACTGTGGGTGTGGTGGTTGGGGGGCCCCTGGGACACTCCAGTGCCAGTAGGTGGTTCTGTGCTCATGGTGGCTTCTGTTCTATTCTTCATTCCAAAATGGGAGACAGGGGGAGAAAAGGGGGTTGAGGGACACAGTAGAGAAAGAAAGGGTTGTCATCCAATAGACTTAGTTCCAACCATGGCTTTTTTTTTTTTATATATATTTTATTTTATTTTAAGGTTCAACATTTCTAGAAGGTCTTGCTAGAACTTGCTTTCCCTCCAAGCCCGGGGTAAACAAGAACTAGCCAAAAATCACGATGTGCTTATAAAGTGTTTCTAAGGTTGCAGAGTTGTGGTTCGTGTAAGATAAATATTTCTTTTTGGAAGGACGGTGGTTCTAAAATTAAAACCATTGGTAGTAGGTAAACCTGATTTAATTTTTTTTTTTTTTTGAAGTAGATGTTTCTGCAGATTTTTCCCCTAAATGTTTCTTTGGAAAATGAATTTAGCTAATTGGAGGATAATATGGTTGTATTGATTTGTTTAGAAATAGTTTCACCTAACTGAAATTTTCTTATTTTAATTGTACTTCCAGTGAATGAATTACATTTTTCTGTACTCAAACCTCAAATTCTGTTCCTAATAATACCATAATATTATTAGGAAGATGTCTCTTGATATTTTTCTGTTTCCTTGCTTGGTGTTTTTGTCTGTGTAATTCATTATTTGGCATTTGCCTGCCTGCATGTCCCACAAAGACACCGTGGGGGAGGAGATGTGTGGAGCTGAATTCCCTTCTGGGGTGAGGAGAATGGAAATCCATGGGATGAGTGGGACTGAGTGAGTGTCTGCCTTGTATGCCTGACTTTGTGCTCTGCTGTAGCTGCACCCTGCAGGGATCACTGCAGGTACCTGGAGCCTTAAGAAATGGGTTGTGTTTAACCATGAAAACCAGGTTACACCAACCAGGAGATCAGCAGAAGTGCCTGGGATATTTGATGCTGGAGGGAGCTGGGACAGGGACAGGTGTGACCCTAATTCTGTGTTCAAACTGAGAGCAGAGATTTACCTTGATGTGTGGGGAGAAAAGGTGACAAGGGTGATGTCTTTTAATTTCCAGCGTACTGACATCTGCAATGCATTTCACTTGGGTGGCGAAGATGGAGGTTAAAATTCAGAGTGACTGATGACTTTAAAGAAAATTTGCATTTTCTTAGGGAGCTGTGGTTTATCAGTTCCTGTCATAGCATTTTATTGTGCTCCATTGCAGTTAATGCCAAAGGGGTCAGTGGAAAAGAAGATTGAACCTGCAAGCCTGGTGCTGGGTTTAGAACAGAGACATTTTATTGTGGGTGTCCCACCAGGGCTGCTGTGAGCAGTAAATGACAGTTCCACGTGCAGGGGCAGAAATAAGGGTGTGTCATTGCCAGTAGAGTTGTTCCAGCCCTGTGTTCGTCAGCACTGCCTGGCACTGGCACAGGTTGCAAGGAGAGTTTGGAGATGCTTTTGTAGAGAGTTTGTGTGTGTAGAGATTTGGTCAGTTCTTAATAACTGGCAGTAAAAACCCTAAAAGAAGCTTTTTAAAAGCAGCACAAGCACACCTGGACTGGAATTGTAAACTGGCATTAAAGCAGTTTGGACAAAGACTGTAAAAAACCCCAAACAAAACCAAAAGAACCCAACCCAAAACATCCCCCACCAAAAAGTGAACCAAACCCACCTTCTAAAATACAAACTATGGTTCTCCAGAAAATCCACGTGTTTGCAGTGGAACTGCCACCTGGAATCAGGGAGCACAGGTTGGGTGATGCGTGGTGAAGGCTTCTGTGTCCCTGTGCTGGCTGATGGCAGTGATGGAAGGGAGGGTTCCCAAATCCTCCCCTGTGCTCCCTGCGCTGATCCTGCCTGGGGCAGGGCTGTGGGAGGCCTTGGCCCTCCAGAAATTCAGGATTTTGGTGTCTTTCAAATCCCTGCACCTTTCCTTGCCTCGGAAAGGGGTGACTTCACTGAGTTTTCCTTGCAGTGAGGTCACAGGTACCTTTTAGCTGCAGTGACAAGTGCAGGAGTGGTACAGTTACACTTCCAGTAAAGTGTAATCCTTGGGCACCTATTATAATATACTTTGGGGGCTTTTACATGTGGAATAAGTTCTCTTCAGCTGAAAATGCCATTATTTATTACTTGCATGGTGACTTGAGCTTAGCACAGCGTTGATTTTAAAATTACTGATTCACTTTGTAAAACAAAAGCAACTGTAAATTTGTAATTTCCTTGTATTTGGGACCAAAGATGATTTTAGTATTGTACAGAATATACTTTCTAAAAAATCTTAAGCACTTAATACTCTGCAGAGACATTATTTACTATTTGGATTACGTAGAAGGGAAACAAAGTAGCTGTGAGAGACAACTAAATTTGAAATATCAGGATCATTTGATGTGTATGTGGTTCATTCCTCCCTGACTTAATTTTACACAGAGGTACTATTTTAAGACTGTTACCCAAACTGCAGTCATCACAAAAAATCTTACAAGAAGAAAATAGGGTAGAAAGTTTAATTTTTTTTTTGAAACTTGTTTAGAAAAGTGACATTAAATCGCTTCTCTCAGCCAGTTAGTGTTGCTTGTAATTGCTAGCACAGAGGGATAGTTTTTTTTAGTCCTTGAAAGTGCTGTTTAGCTCCATAAAGGGACTCAGACCCCACTGTAAATAGAACTAAATCAGAGCTAAACAACTGAACCTTGTAGGAACGGAGTGCTTGAGACTGTAAACGCTTCAGATCAGTCCCCTGGGGTCCAACCAAGCCCTCAGACTGGGAATCTCTGTTTTCTGGGTGTGGAAATGACTGTGAATTGTGCCACCTCTGCACAGCCATCAGAATATTAAACACCGGGGTCTGACTGTGCAGGAATTCCTAAAGCACAGCAGAGCAGAGTCCTTCCCACTGTCCCCTGGTGTTGCAGTACTGGGGACAGTGGGAGGGACTCTGCTCTGAGTTTGTTCACTGGTGCCTCGTGGCTCTCGTGCTGCCCGCGCTCGTGAGATGCCTCTTCCAAAGAAAAGGCTCAGTGTGTGCTGCACTGTGCATCCCAGAGTTGTTCCACCTGTCTGCATTTCACTGTCCATTTTACAAAGGGGAGGTTTTCACTCTTCCCCAAGATAATAGTTTATTTTTTGGTTTTGTCTCTGGTGATGATTGTCCCTTCCTAACGCTTGGGGATTCTCGCCGTGCTGTGGATCGCAGCAGGAGAACTGATGGCATTGTTAGGAGGGAATTAACCACTAGTTTTGCCGTGAACTTTAATGTCCCTAGATGAATTTGGCATTTGTCACCTCTGTGCTGTTTAACAGGGCACGTGCAGGCACAGCAAATGCTTACCCAATGTGTGCTTTTATTGATTCCCCCCCTTCCTTAGTCTTGTTCTGTGTCTGTTGTTTTCTTGTCTCACGAGAACTTTGTAAACATTTCTCCTTCGCTTTTGTGAGGGGAAGACCCTCACCAAAAATCTAAAATAAGGAAGTTTTGAGGGCAATTTGTGTAGAAAATAATACCCTCTGTCCTGCTCAGCTGAGAGGCTGAAGAGCTTTGTGCATGACAGAGTATAAAGAACAGTTCTTGTGCTGTAAGCTCTGGAGCCAAACCTCCTCAGCAGGTATTTGGGATAAATGAAAAGGCAGGGACAATCTGATCATCAGTGTGAGATATGAGAAGGGCTCTCAATAATCCAGTCCTTTTAAAGGGATGTTTGAACAATAAAAATCCCCAACAGCAGAAGGAAAGATGTTCTGCAGTTCCTAAAGGAGAGGCACCCCTTGGATCAGAGGTGTTTGCTCAGGAGGGCTCTGTTTGGAGCATGAGAGAATGGATTGGTGGTTGTTTGGAGCCCAACAAAGCCCCAAAACCCTGTGCAGACAGAGGTGTCCTGGGCATGAATTTTAATTTAAAAATGGTACCAAAATCAGTACAAAAATCAGAGGAATGTTTGAAAATACTTTGTAGAAATGATGCCGTATTCCTCTCTGTATTTTTGGTTAAAATGAATTTATACAAATGCTCAGGAGATCTCTGAGTTTTTTCCTGGTATATCATTTTCATGGCAACTTGGCCACCTTGATAAATTTGACCAAGTCAGAGTGGTGCTGCCAACCTGAAAGGGTTTCCTTGTTCTGGTTCTTTTTTTTTTTTTTTTTTTGTGTTGTCTTTTTAAAATCTGTCTATAATTTAACCATTTGTATGATAAAAATAATCTTTAAAAAATCTGCTTACACTGTGACTTCTGAGAGCCTTTAGAGTAATCAACACAATCTCGTTTTCTTTTGGGATATGCAGATTTCAAAAGTGTTCTTATATATGCCCAGAAGTGAAAGTTGTCTATTTATCGTAGGAATGTGATTAGATAAATCCAGAATCCCAGCACAGCTCTTTCACATGTGCTGGATAGATGAGTTAGTTAAATTGCCTTTTAATCTCTATGGATTAATAAATATTTTTTTATAACTAGCCACAGATAGTCCTTTTTTAAATTATACTTGGCAAACAGAAGATATTTAATTTTATATACAATATACAGTTACCATGATTGACATATTTATAACATAGAGCTTTGTGTTTACTATGAAGGTTTTATGTTTTGTTTTGGTTTGTTTTTTTTCAACCCATGGACTCCATGGGTAAAACTTCAAAAAGCCAGTTAGCATTTATGGGAAGTATTTCATGGCTTCAGGAGGAGGACATAGGAGCATTTAAAAAAGCAATGGCCAGGTTGTAGTAACAGAATATCTGGGGGGTTTCTTATTTTTTTGGTTGGGGCTGGTCCCTACAGCTGTTTCAGTAACATCTGGATGTGAGGAACAGAATGGAACACGACCATCTGCCTCTTGTGACTGTCCCAGGCTATTGTTGGAGTACAGGAAATGTCAGGGTCTTGGATTGTTTTGGACAAATGTCTCAATAGACATATTTAATTAAAACCTTCATGTGCTTGAAAGGAAACACCCTCTCTGAACTAGGCTGATCTTTTGGTAACCTTTTAATCCCAAAAGTAGTATTGTCTAAATACTTTCAGTAATGTTGCATCTGTCCTGATGTCTACAGGTTCAAGTGGTTCTGGCACCCTTTTGTTACAACAATTGCTACCTTCATTTTTCTACTGTTTATACTTTAATCTTGAATGTTTACTGGTTTCTACTCGTTGGATATCATGGAGGGAGAGTGTATCTTAGCACTACAGATCATCCAGCTTTAACTCATTCATCACAGTTCTGGAGTAGGAAAATATTTTGGTTTTTGTGGCCAATCTGTTGCATTTTAAAATGATTTCTGTGCTTTAGGCCCTGCATTTATGACATAACGAATGACTTAGCTGATCATTATATCCGTCTAGACTTACTCTCTTCTGTGTTAGTGTCATTTCGAAACTATTTGTATATGTTGAAGTTTGTAAGGGTTCAGGAACCCACAATAAAATAGTAAAGTATGTATTTATTTCTCATGCTAATGCTCCATTTTGATTTGGAAGTTTGACACTTTGTACGTCTTTTCACGAACTGTAAACAAAATACCGAGAAACTGCTTCACCTGGGGTGCCTTCCACGTGTGGTGTGAACACTCATCACTCACAGAAACAGGTGTGGGTTTGTTCGAGCAGGCAGCACTTTTTGTGCTCAGTCACTGATGCATCTCTGCCTTCCTCCTGCTTTGTTCCCACCCCCCCTGCTGCTGGGGCACTGCAGTGGGTGAGCCCCTGGCACAGCACAGCCCTTGCTCAGCTGCCCTGGGCATGGACACAGAGCACGTGGCTGCTGGAGGTGGAAGGTGCTCCAGACTCTGTCCTTGAGATTTGGGGAGATGCTCAGTGTGGGAAATCTCTACCCCATGGACCCATCCTGGGCCCTCTGCAGGAACACTGCAGGCCCAGCCTAACCATTCTCATTCTGGCTCACAGGTCATGGTTTGTGGCATCTGAGGAGCATCCAGGCCTGACCAAAAGATTATGCCAGGGCTGTAGGTCCTGTGCTGACAGATTGGTGATTGCAAACAGCTCTGAGGTGTCAGTTGGAACAGCAGGTTCCCCTTCCACCCTGGGCTGAGCAGAGGGGATGCAGTTTCCTGTTACCATAGAGCACAATCCGCTGTGGAACACCCTCGGTGCTTTGCTCTGGCAGTAAAACCTGTGCTGCTGGGTCACAGATCTCCCTGCACGCTCTGGGTGCACAGGCAGCACCTGCCTGTTGGTCCCACAGCTCCCCGGGGGCTGCAGCTCAGCGGTCCCTCTGTCACCCAGTGCTGAGCGAGGACTCGGGAACGTCCCAGCTTAGCACACGTTCACACAGGGACCGTTCCTGGGGAGTGCCACACTGCTTTGGGAGTTCTGGAGCTTCTCAAGGAGCTCGTGGCCAGCTGGAGAAGCAGCTGTTTGCCACAGTGGTCCCTCCAGCTGTGCCCGTGGCACTGCAGCATCTCCCAGCTCTGTGTGTGAAAGTTGTTCTCTTGATGCTTGACCAATCTCAAGGTACTCTACACAGAACCTCCACCTTGTTCCCACACCAGTAACAATTTCTCAGTCTGTTGGTGTTTCTCCTGTTGGTGTCTGCTAATCAAAAACACGAGCTGGACAATTGTAATGTCTTGCAATACAGAAAGCAGTCCCGTTTTAAAAATCCGTTCTGTTATAGCATAATTTAAATGGTGTATTTATCAGTTTTAAATGTCTTTTTGATTTCCCAGTCTTTTGTATATGGGCACAAAACTTTTTGTAAATTTTTTTTGGTTTTTTTTTTTTAGTTGTCTTTCTGTCTTTTCTTTCTGGTCTGGGAAGATTTGGGTTTTCACGGTACTCTTTGATCATTCTTCATAGTGGTAAAAGTCTGTATTTTTGTATGTAGGGAAAATGGTAGTTTTCTAACACTTAGCCCAATCAATATAGTATGGAATCATTTGTGAAGGACTTCCTGTTTAATAAATGGACATATTAAAGTACTAAAACATTGTCTGCCTCTGTAAAGGGGTGCTGGGCTGGACTAGGCTGGACTGGGCTGGGGGTTCTTCTCTTGGCAGTGGCTGCTGTGGGGCTGTGTTTGGCTTTGTGTTGATAATTCAGAGGTGTTTGTGTTACTCCTGAGCAGAGCCAAGGCCTGTCCTGCCCCTGTAGGGCCCCCCTGGGGGGTGTGTGAGGATGGGAGGGGACACAGCCAGGACAGGTGGCCCCAGCTGACCAGAGGGATATTCCAGCCCATGGGACATCACCCTCAGTGTGTAAAGTGGGGGAAGAAGGAGCTGGGGGGGATGGGGGTGTTTGGAGTGATGGAGTTAGAATTAGAAATTAAGAAACTTCAGGTGGAAGTGTAGAAAAGGGAAAGAACAGCAAACAACAAATGGTGCAACCAAAAATGTGCTTGTACAACAAGGGGGTCGGCTCACCTTGCCCTGAGGGGCTGGCAGCAGCAAAGTGGCATTACCCTGTGGGTCCTTGGTCCAGAGCAGCTTTGCCAGTTGTCAAATTTTTAAAAGTTTATCCTGTCTAACTTTTGAATACTTCAGTCTCCTGGGAAGACTAATGGATTTCTTATTCATGGATCATGCAAACACAACGTGATGGACAAAATATATAAAATGTCCAAAATATAGAAACTAAAAGCACAGGACAAAGTTAACATTGGAATTGGTATTTTCCTCGTCAAGGAAATAGATTTAAAAATTTACTTTTATTAAAAAAAAACCCTAAAACCCCAAACAAACCCACACATAAATGTTAAATATTCTGGGTAATAGGGCCAGATGCAGCTCTAATATTCAGGCTCCCAGATGTGCACAGTGAACACCTGGGAGCAGAATGACTGGACCCATCTGCTCGCTCTGCAGATTGTTGAGTTGTGCTCTGCTGGCCAGCACACCAGGCTGGGGGGGGTTCTCAAACACTGCTTTTCACTCAGTGTCCTGGAAATGGCTGTGTCCCCGGGAAATGCAAGGCTTGCAGAACTTTGGGCAGGATCGAGTGAAAAGCAGAGTGAAGTGGAGTGATGGACAGAGTGTTCAAAGCACAACAGAGCCTCTTAGTTCAGTCAGAGTTTAAAAGAGCTGCTTGGAAAGGGCTTGAATTCCTTCATGTCACCTGTCCAAAAACCACCACACAAGACTGAACAAGTTCCACAGATAAATACAAAAGGTTTTTGAGAGGAGAAGGAGGGAGAGAGCCCTTCAGCCAGTGTGAGCTGCATGAACCACTCGTCTGTGGTGCATTTCCCCCTGTGAGTGGCTTTGAGTCTCAGTGTTTAGACCATAAAACGTCTGGCACTGATTCTACACTGAGTTTTCTTCTCCTCTGCTCTGCACAGATTCTGATCTTGGTGCAACAGTGCTGGCAGAAAATGGACAATAGACTGAGTCAGTCCCCACCTCCCCCAGTTGAAATTGCCTTTAATAATTTTTAATTTTTTGAAATGATATTCGGAAAATACAGAATTGTGTTTTACTTCAGTCATGGGAACAGATCTTGTTAAAGAAAAGGCTGGAATCCTGCACAAGTGCTTGACCCTGGGAGCAAACTGCTTAGAAATGAATGAAATCATCAAGTACTTAAAAGCCAATAACCAGTTCTCTGGGCAGGCACTTCCCTGCTAAAGCAATCCTGGAGCAACTCATGAGCCACTTTGTTTGCTGCCTCTGTTGACTTTAGGAGTGATCCAAGGTGAAAAAATGACCAGAAAACCTCAGTATATTTTGGGTTACAGCCTGTGTGAAGGGGGAACCCAAAGGGGTCTGTTTTTACTGCGTTTTTAGTTGCCAGGTGAGAGCTCTGTATCCCCGGTGTCTCAATAAGTGGAAACGAATTCTTGGTTAAATTCTTCCGTGGTTATGCCCTGGAGATGATGTTTGTCCTCAGGAGCTGTGGGAGCAGCAGGGGTTGGTCCCCCTGTGCTCTGCCACCTCCCCAGCACACAGCAATGGAGTTCCTTAAATCACTGATCCCTGTGCTGGGCAGAGGCAAGGCAGTAAAATCAGCTCTTAAAATAAGTAAAGACACCCAACACTTCTATGAAAAGAGGTTTAATCCAGGGTGGTTTCTAAATATTAACCGTGTACTAGTTTCCAGATGTGACATGCAGTACATTTTGTTTTAATTAAAAAAAAAAAAAAAAAAAAAAGAGAAATACAAAATGAGTATAAAAACAAGCCCAGGTCCCCTGATGTCACAGTGTGTGCCAGGAAAATATGACAACAAGAGAAAGAAACACGGGATTTCATATAGGAAAAGGTCCAGAGAGGTCTTTCTTATAAAAGTAGAGGTGATTTGTCACATTTAGAACTAACCACTTGTTTTGCTTTTGTTCTCAGTGGTCGGGAAACAGGAGATGTAGGAGCAGCCTGAGGAGCAGCCCCTTCCCCAGCCCTGCTCCCTGTGAGGTCCCGTGGGCAGCAGCCAGCTGCTGCCAGGGAACTGGAATCCAAGTGGTGGTTTTATTCCAGGGGAAATCTGCCTTTATTGTTTTACCCCTGTTTTTCATTTACTCTCTTAGTACCATCTGCTCTCATTTTGGTTTTTGTAAAGGCCACCTGTTCTGGTACTGTGTTAATTTTTTAAAAATATATCCAGATTTCTTTGGCACAGAGCTGTCTGCTGCCATCTGTAAGGAGCAGGCCACGCTTTTCCCAAGCAGCATGTGTTTGTAGGTGGATACAAATATTTCAAGGTAAGTTGTGCTACTTTTGAAAATACCTTGTAAATTCAGAAGGCTTTTTCCCTGAATACACCACCACAATAAATCCTGTCCTTCCAGGGGAAAAAAAAACCCAACCCAACCTCCCCCTTCCCACTGAGGAAAGGAGTCTGGGAAAAATGAATTCATTGCAGACCTTCTGTAGTTTGGGGCTTGGTTTCTGTGCCTTTTCCCAGTGGGGAGGATGCCCTGCCCTCCTGGGGCTCAGCTGTCCCACGGGTGGCAGAACCAGCTCCCTGTCCTGCAAAGCCATGGCCCGAGTGCTGGTCTGGGGCAGCACCAGTGCCCCCAGCACAGAGCAGAGCAGGCTCTGAGTGGTACCCTGGGCACAAAGCCTGCTGGGTGGGGGCTGCCAAGGCTGCTCCTCTGGCTGTGCCAACACAGCCAGCAGGAAAGGGGCTGGGAAGGGGCTGACCCCCCTGTCCTACCTCGTATCTGTGGTGAGATGGCAGCAGATGGGATGTGAGTCCATCCAAGCAGCTTAAGAAGAGTGATTGTGAATGTTTGATGAGCCAGCTGCCTGCAGCAGTTAGACTCTGAGGTTTGCTCTCGCTGCAGGTTTCCAGTTGTCACTTCTGGTCCCAGACAGGCAGCAGATATAAATGTAACCAACACTTCACTGGAATCGAGGCCTTCAGTGCTTCAGAGTGGAACACTCAGACTCCAGATAAGGAAATACTGTTAGTTAAGAAGAGAAATACAAATGGAGGCATTCAAACCTCTCCTCTTTGGCACGTCAAGAAGTATAAAAGCTGTAAGTGTTAAAGATCTGGAAGGAAGAAAGCAGGTTAAAAGCTCTGGTTACACGTTTAAAATGCTGTTCCCGCTCGCTCGGGACATGGGAGGGCTGAGGAAGGAGGGGCAGAGGAGAACTGAGCTGTGTTGGGACACACTCCTCTGGGAAAGGCTGAACTGCTGCAGAATCTGCAGTTCTGACAGAGTCTCTAATGGCTTTGGGAATAGTCTTCTTTTCCACATCACTGCCCTGTCCATGCCTTGGTGATTCCACGAACAGTGAGGTGGGAAGAGGATCCGGAGGCTGCAATGAGATCTTTCACTTGGCAGTGCACTCAGCAAAGTGCTGGATCATCTTCCCTTCACGCTTGGTTGGTGTTTGGTTCCTCAGTCTGAGTCAGAGTCAGAGTCCTCATCTGAGGGGTAAAACAAGGAACAAAAGTGAAAGGAGAAGTGGAAGCCCCGGCCCTGCTGCTGCTCTGGGCAGGAGCTGCTCCAAAGGACACGTGTGGGGAAGGGCTGGGGGAATGATAGCCCTGGGATACTCCTGCCAACGGGATGGAGCTTCCAGGGGAGCTTCAAAGGCACTGGGAAATGCTGCTGAGGGGCACTGGAGCACCACAGTGCAGGGGATGGCTCAGAGGAGGAGGTGGCAGCGATTTCCTGTGATCTGTTCCATTAATAATTCTTCTTTTTGTCTCTCTTTTTGGCCTGAAGCTTGCAAAACATGTAACAGTCTACTAAAATCCCTAGAAAAGACTGTTAATGCTACTGTACTTCTAGGATTCTGTGCACATCTTGGGTGTTTGTTTTTGAGGAGGTTTGTGGGTTTTGGTTTTGTGTGGGTTGTTTTCTTGGGTTTGGGGATTTCTTTTCTTTTTTTTTTTTTTTTTTTTTTTAAAGCATGGAACAGTCTTTTTCCTCTGGGTAGGTGGAATGAGCAGTGCCACAGGGACATGATGCCCACTTTGGGCTCGTGGGCACTGCAAAACTGCTTCCTCTGGCCTGGCTTGACCTGAATTGGATTTGAACACCCAGCAGTGGGTCCCTCTTTTTATCTTTGTCTAAGTGGATCAGTCTGAAGCAGGCTGGACCTCCTGCTAGAGAAAACAAATTCATAACAGCCTTGTTGATTTTATGCTCTTTGGCCCTGGGATTTCAAGGCCATTTGCCCACAGATGGTCAGTGAAACTGGTAATAACAGGCAATCATGATAAGGAGATGATAAATAGAAGAGCACTACTGGACATGAAAGACTGTGGATGAATGGGTGTTAATTATTAAGTTACCATGGAAAAAAGGCAGATGTTTGCTTGTTTTTGCAGTAAGACATTTTGATGGGGGAAGAAAGTCTGTGCTGCTGGTAATTTCTATAATTGGATTTGGGGGCTTCCAGATTTGGATGTCGTGGAACTGTGAGCAACTTCACCTTGCTGGCTTGCTCCTTATCTTTGTAAGTCACTCCAGTTTTGTGTTCGAGGATAAGCAGCTTCCTAAGTGAGCACAGTTGTGGCACACAAAGCCAAGGCAGCCAGGAATAGAAACTCAGTGCTCTTGCTCCTCCCCAGAGGTGAAATGGAGAAGAAAATCTCAGGTTACCTGCTCGTGTGACAAAGCAGGGAATTTTACCCACCTTCTGACTTGTGCCCTTCGGGGGGATCAGAACTGCCTTGCTTGAGGAAACCGAGCAGGTCGTTGAAGGTGATGTAGAAATCAATGGCAAACACTATGGTGGCTACAAACCCAAACACCTGCAAGGGCAAAATAACACTCCTGAACAGCAGGCCACGGCCAGCAGTGACAAACCCAAACGAGCTCAGCCAACAAAGAAAAACTCCTAAAGCTTGAGCTTGGTGGGTTTGGCCTGTGCCTTTCCAAGACGACAGGGAAGGGAAATGGCTTGTGACTCAATGGCCTCAACTGAATTACAGCTAATTTGGGAGCCTGAGAAATCATCTGTGTCCTTAGCCCTTCCCCAGGCCCCTCTGGGCATGGTCTGAGCATCAGCTCTGCTGGGAGTTACAGGAGAACAAAACCTGCACCTCCACCATCCCTGGGCATCTCTTTGCCACCAAGAAATCAGCCTTAGTTTCTCTGGAAATAATTCCTTCCTGGCTTGCAAGGAGACCTGTCTGCTGCTGAGTGAAGCAGACTGAGATTAAAATGATTCTGGAGTTCCCCCTTCCGTGTCAGAGCAGCAGCAGAGCCAAGAACAGGCTGGGTTTCAGTCTGGGGTAAATGCATTTGTACATCTCCACCTCTAAACTGAGAGACAAAGATTAAAACCAGGTGTAGGTTTGAACTGTGTGTGGCTGGGGATGGTTTGGTAAGGGCTCCTGCTCAGCACTGCTGGATATTGTTCTTCCCTATCTTTAAAAATTATGATGCAGATTTTATTTATGTTGCATCCATTATTGATGCCTGGAGTCAGGTTGCAGATGGAGAGGCTGGATTGTATTTCTGCACACAAAATGCTGATGGCAAAGGCTCTCTCCTGGGCAGCCCTTGTGCTGGAGGGTAAAATGACACTGCTCTTGTTTCAACTCATCCAAGTAAAACAGAGAGAGGGGCAGGAGGTTGAAATTACTTAATTTAGACCGACCTTAGCAGTCACAGGTTTGATTCCTTTTTTTAATCATTAATATTATTCCCTCCATTCAAGGATCTTGATACTTTTGGCAGGAACAGAGTTTCTCTTCCCTGTGCATCTGGGGGAATTAAAAAAGCAGAACAAGTGCCTTCCTTAAGGAGCACAGTTAACACTGAGCAGCACTGTCAGAATGACAAAACTATTGATTCAAAACGTATTTTCCTGAATAACTGACCATTTCCTCTTTGCTTTAGGCAAGGCAATTCTCAGTTAATTGCAGAAACTTCTGTCCCTTGCAAAGGGGTCAAAATTGAACTGTTTCTGGACCGTATCTCTAGGTAGTTCACCAAAGTACTGGCATGGAAAGCTCATGTCTACTCACCCCTGCTGCTTTAGATGCTCCATCACTGTACTTGGAGACAGCAGCGATGGAAATGGCAAAGTAAATAATGGCAGCAGTGACACAGCGCAAGAAATCCTGTGGAATAAGCAGTGTTGCATTCCCAGATTAGTCACGGAGCTCCAGCATGCAAACCCCTCTGCAAACCATCAGGGAAATGAGCTCTCCAACCCTCTGTCCCTGCAGCAGTGACCACCCTGTGTGACACAGCCTGCTCTGGGCTGCAGGAGCTGCTCCTCTGGGGATGTTTTAAGGAAGAGATGATTGGAATCTTGGCACGACTCCTGCTCTTGGAGATGCTGTGTCACTCCTGCTCTTAGCTTGTGTGGGGCAGACCCTTCTTCAGGCTGGGAAGGGCTGTTTGCCCCGGAGCATGGGCTCTGATGGCAGAATCATCTGAAATGCCTGAAGGTCTCACCTTGGAGCAGAACTCCTGTGGTACCCGGGGCTCAGGAGGAGGGAACAGCTCCCGTGGGAACAGGTGGGTGCTTGTCCCTATGTGGATATGGGTCTATATGATGATCTCTGTCTGCAGGAACTCATCAGTCAGGAACTAAGCACTTTGTTTATTGAAATGATTTGTACTCAGTGTGTTGTTGTGACTCCAGCAGCCTGCCCAGAGTGCCTGTGGTGATCACTGGAAGAGGTGCTGCTGTGGCTCTGCAGGGCAGGGCCGTGCCCTGTGACACCAGCAGTGATGTCTCTGCAGTGGGTGTTTAATACAGCTGTGATTCCCAGGGATGTGTAAATCACGGGAGCTGCACTTGAGCTCTGTTCACAGTTAGCTCTTCTGCCCTTTCAGAACAGATGGATAATGTCTCAAAACACAAATCCTACAAGAAACTTGACTCTTCTCAAGTCAAGACAGAGTCAATTATCTGCATTCTGTGGCTGCAGTGTACTAAGGTAATGGCCAAAATAAACACACAAGTGCCTTTTTTGTCTTAGTTCTGGAATCAGATGGGTGTAGACAATGAGAAAATGATGGAACTGAGATTACCAACTGAAAACTGTGCAGTCAAAGCCACTGATACCCCTTTACCCACCAGTGGCCTCACTCAAGTCGTTTTTATGCACTGAGAGCTCTAGTTCAGCTCTCACTATGATGAGCTACTGCTGGTACCCAGAGAGACTCCAGATTGATTAGGTCGGCAGGGTTTTTGGAAGTGTTTGTGCTGCTCCAGGGCTGCTCCCTGTGCAGGGTGTGTCTGGGGCAGCAGGGACATCCAGTGGCCGGGATCACCTGCAGCCCCAGTGCCAGTTCCAGGAGCTGCAGGGCTCCCCCTTCCCAGCAACAGCTGTGACTGTGGGGTCACTCTGCCCCTCTGCAGCACTTGCTGAGGATTTAAAACCATGCCAGTGAAGTCTGTCCCTCGCTGGCAGCACCCCCGTGTCCCTGCCTGGGAGGGTGGCAGTGCTCAGGAGCCCCCAGCAGTGCTCAGGAGCCCCCAGCAGTGCTCAGGTTGATGCTGCCCCTGAAGATCCAGCCCTGAGCCCCCTGCCTGGGGTCAGGCATAAATTCTGTGCTTTGAGAAAGCCAAGCTGTGTGTCAGCACCAAAACAAGCTACAGGATATAGCTCAGCATGGTTCAAAGAGTGCTCTGGCACCTTCTCTACAACAGGCAACACAGACAAGTTTCTAATAAGGGGGTGAAGTTGTTAACAGTGACCCTAAACTTCTGTGCAGTCCCTACTCCTGTAACCCTGCACAGTTCAGTCTGGGGGCTTGTGCTGCACGTTCCACTCACCGTCAGAGGCCAGTAGAGTCCTTTAAACTTCTCATTAAGCTTGGAGGCGTAGGCAAAAAAAAGAAACAGTGCCAGCAGAAACTCTAGGAGCGGTGCCATCATGAAAGAAGCTGCTAGAGATGCAATATAGCAGATAAAGATGATAAATGACAGCACCTGGAGTAAAGGGAAAATTGGTGGTTACTGGCCAGGAACAGCAGAGGGGCTGAGCAGCTCTGAAGGGTTGTTTTCCCCGTGTTTCTGTCAGTGCTGCTGGGGAAAGCACTGCTTGCTTCTTACTGTTTTCGTTTTCTTTTTTTTGTATATTGGGCCAAATGAATTTCCTTGTTCAGCATGGGATCAGTCTCAAGGAATGGTGTTTGTTTCCACGAGTGTGAAATGGGTTTTCCGGGGCGCTGGGTGGGTTCGCACCTCTCTGAGCCAGTGATTTGCTCGGGGTTGTAAACAGTTCTGAACACAGAGTGGGGCACTGCCAAGCAAGCAGAGCTTTAAGCTTTCAGCCGTGACAGCTCTCATTTGGAACCCAAATCATTGCTCAGACAGCCCAGAGTAACTCAGCATTTATAATCTCCTCAGAGTAGGAAGAAAAAACTCTGCTGATGATGGATAGAAAAGAGCCAAGAATTAATTGTTCTGTGATTTCTGGAAGTCTTTGGTTCTAGTTTTCCAGTGTAGAAAGCTGTTTTAGATAGTATTAGGATAGATAACTCCCATAAATTTATCTCCATGATGTTTCCTAACTCTACACAGTAATAAAAATGGCATTTGTTTTCCCAGTCAATTAAAATACATTTGGAATACAGTTTATGATTCAAGATAGAAAGTGTCACAATGGGAAAATGGCTAAAGAAAGTGATTTTTTACCTAAACCAGGTAGTACCAGTGCTGCCCTACACTTCTGGACTTTGAGCTGCTGCTGGTGAAGGTGGGAGGTGAGGGAACCAGGGGGAAACTTGAGAACATTTCAGATGATGTACTGGGAGTTGGTCACCTGCAGGAAGAGACTCCAGCCCTGCTGTGTTACTGCCTTGCAGGGAAACTGGTTGCTGTTGTCATCAAATCAGCTTAAAATAACAAAAATAGGATACTAAATGACACATTTTGTGTCCTGTGTGCCAGTTTGCACCTCTTTCCTCGTGGAGACAAATCCCTGCCTTCCCAGTGCTCAGAGATGCTTTGGTACTGTCTGAGCATCAGATCACAAGGATTTTTTGAACTTTTCTTTGCTTGTGTTCACCTGGACCTCAGAAAAAAAATCATCATTATACTTGAATGATAAGGCTCCTATCAATAATTATTAATTAATAATTACTCCTAGGAGAGGTCAGTCAACCTTCAAATACAGGCTCAAAAGAGCCTGTTTAAGTTTAGGGGGCACCTAAGCGGTTCAATCCCACTGAAATAACTTTTTAATGTAGTTAATTAAGAAGCCTTTATTCTAAGCCTGTTTTGGGGGGAAAGCAGTCAGTTCTTGAGCAGGCTGCTGATAGCTGGAGAATATTGTTTTGATCCATTAGGAGTGGGTGGTGAAGTTAGAGAGGATGTGCCATTTTTAGTAAGAGACTATATTTGTCTTAAACCGCCTATGCATTGTTCTTGTTTCTCTGAGAAGCTGATCTGGGGCAGTACAGGCCTGTCACCTCTTCACATTTACCCTCTTTGTTGCTGTTTATCCTCGTATTTCTTGGTTATTGCTCACACAGCCTCTTTGCAGGTTTTTCTAGTTCTCATACAGCAGAGGGGACTCCTTCCCTGTCTCTCATCCTTTCAGTGAGTGGAGAGTGGTGAGCAGTCTTTGAAGAGAAGTGGATGTAACAGAGCTTGAAATCTGCTAAGAGGAGAGAGGATTTCTTCCTCCTTCCTATCACACCTGCTCCCTTTCCCCCCACCCCAAGAATGAAGACTGGACTGTCTTTGTGAATCTGCTACACTTGCATTTGTGGCACATCATTTAGGCATGGCTTAATGTTTTCTTGGGTTAAAAAGAAACCACCATGTACACAGGACATTTTTTTCTTGTTCTGGTGTTGAAGAGATCCCCCTTTTCTGGCTGGAGGGAGGTGTGTGCTGGCAGAGCTGCAGGAAGGAGCAGCAGCAGGGAGGAGATGCTCAGGGTAGGTCCCACCTTCCAAAGTCCTTTCAGTGGCAGAACGTTAGAGCTGAACCAAACCTGGTAATCTCATGAAAGGACTAAATGCAGTGTTAAATAACCCATCACACTGCAGCAGCAAGGGGAGGCAGAGAGGCAAATCTGAGATGTGGGAGTTGGTGGTGCTCAGCTGAGATCCCTTTGATCTCGATTCTGTTTGATGCAGTAAATCCTGTGCTCTGCCTGCCTTTGTACTGAGAAAAAGGTTTTCCTGTCAGAAAGTGGGGAGGTGAAGGGAAGAGCCTTTGAGCTCTTCTTTTATCAGCTTTATGGGAATTTGTGCAAGTTAAGGTTCCCACTGTGTCCCCCTCACCCAGGCTGTGGGTTGGAACAGGAGCCCAAGTCGTGCTGTAACACAGCTCAGGGTGCAAACAGAAGCTGGTTTGTGGCAAGGAAAAGCCAAGGAGCTCCTGCTCCAGTGTGCTCTGTGCCAGTGGGATTCCTGCCTCTGTGCCAGATAAGCTGCTGAAGACACAACAAGATCAGTCATTTCAACTTTCTAATTTGGTCTGATCCAGAGCAGCTGGGGAAATACTGTTCATTTTAAAATCTGGTTACCAGGCAGGTACTTGTTCTAACAAACCCCTCCATCACTGGTAGGTCACAGCAGTGTCCTGCTGCCTGTTCCTCAGCCCTGAAGGACAGTTTCTGTATTCCCACCATCCCCTGAGAGGTGGGATTGAGTCCAGCCTGTCCTGTTCTCCCCTCCTGACTCCACCTGTCAGCCTCCCGTTGTGCAGGGCAAGTGCACGCCAAGGCACAGCAAAAAAAAAGCACTCTTGATTCACAAAAAGTCCCTTGATTGCAACAGATTATTGATTATATTAGTAAAGGGGAAAGACTCTGACCTGAAGTGTGATAACTGCTCTCCATTCCTCATTTTGGGGGCACTCAGAGACTGAAGAGGCCCACGGAGGATTTTATGTGAAAAACCCACCTATAAAATAATGGACCAGATTTTGAGGATGAAGGTTTGAAGGATGGTGGTTTTAGATGCTGCAGCCTTCCTTGGGGGAAGGGTAGAAGGTGCAGGAAGGGGAGAGAGGCAAAGAAAGAGCAGGAGAAACAAAGGGAAGGAGGTGCCCGAGGGCTCTGCCAGGTGATGGCTACAGGGATGGTTCTTTTTTGTCTCTCTTTGCAGCTCTGACACGGATTTCAGTGCCAAACCTACTCAGTAGCTTGGGGACAGCCCTGTGTAATCCAAGAGCCCACAAATTGTAGGGTTTTGATGGTTTCTCATTTCCCTTTCTGGCATGTGGAGTGCATGGTCTCCTTGAGCAATACTGGCTATCATTTATTACTGTCTTTACTGAATTAGAAAACTGAGTAGTTATCTTGTTACCTCGTGTGACCATTTAATTGCACTGCCACTAATCCAAGCGTTTGATGTTACCTTAAAATTTGGAAATTTTAAAAATATACCTCTCCTCCCACAATCCAAACACTGAAGTGCCAGTCTGTATCCAGAAATAATGACACCTACCCACTTACTTCTCCAGACTTCAGGTCTCTGAGACAAACATCTGTCAAGGTGAAAGTTGCTCTAAAACTCAAAGGCAACCCTCAGAATACGACCTGACCCGTCTGGAGACTGTGAAATGTTCCACTGCTCATCACACTTGTTCTGCAGCTCTTTTCCTGAGGCTGTGTGTTCAAGGGTGATTTCAGAGAAAGGTCATGCAAAGGGACCTTGTTGTTTTTCTGATACTCTGTGTCTATGCTAAAAAATGCAAGTTCATTTCTGGCACTTTCAGAAAGCACTGCAGCTTCTGGGAGAAAATAAAAGTAATTGTGCAAAGAGCAGGACAGGATCCTCTCATAGCTTGGCAATGGTAGAAGTAATAAAAAAAAATCCTGGCAAAAAGAAGCCTGACTTTTCATTGAGCACTTTTCAAAACAAAAAAGAGAAATATTACATAGTACTTTTTTAAAGGAACTTCTTTGGCATTGGGTTTCAGACAGTAATTTTGTCCCATGTAATTATTACTTAATATTGTGTTGCTGAGCTTCTTCAACTGGCCAGGCATTACAAAGTTATCCTTTATTGTATAATCAGCTTGCAATTTAAGGTCTAAAAAACGACTTACGCTGGTTAGAGAGCAGAGTGTCCCTTAAGGGAGGGGGCACTGCTGGAGTCTGAGGTCATGGCAGCTCAGAAGGTGTTTGTCTCCTCCATGCAGGGAACAGCCCCAGTGCCTCCCATGGGGACAGGCAGATGCTGGGATGCAGCTGAACCACTGCAGGCTGCTCCTCATCTCCCCTCCACAGAAAAGAACAGGCTTGCTTCAACTTCTAAAAGTGGCTAGTGGTGATATCTTTTGGACAAGAGAGCATTTTGTTGTTATTTTTTGGCAGAGGGACAAAGTGCATCACTTGGTGAGCTCTGCTATCCAGCTATTTCTCCACTGTGCTTGTGCAGGTGAAGTTCCTGGTCCCCAGAATTATCTGCAGGGGTGGCCTTCTGCCTACACACCCTGAGAAAGGTGCAGCAGTCTTCTTCAAAGGAGCCTTTATACCAAGCAGCACACCAAGCAGTTTCAGTTATGAAGGTCAGTTCAGAGGAGACTGAAAAGACAGGAGAAAGACAAAGAGAGAAGCGGGCACAGTGATTGATGTCACCACAAAGCTGGCACACCTTTACATATCCCTACTGCATTTTATAGAAAAAGAAAGTGTAGTGCCACTGCATGCTGGCTAGAGGAGACTAAGGAGGTGCCAGTTTAGTCAGCAGGACAAACACAAAAGCCAGACTGAAGCAGCAGGGGTGAGCAGCAGAATGCACACATGGGGATCGTGCCTGGACAAGCTCTGGTGGCAGGTATGAGAGTGGCTGTTAAATGGTTCCAGCACAGGGCAGAGGGAACTGAAAACTGCATCTCTGGAAGGGTAGAAAAAGAGCATGGATGAGATGCTGACCTCCAAGAGAGCAGCTTGAGTATTTAGGAAAAATGAGGAGCTCAAGAAGAGTGTTAAAATATATGGATGAAGGATGGTGATTAGAAAGTGGAGGAGCAAGGCAATGAGAATAAATAGGATCAGGAAAGAGCACAGCCTATTCATGTACTTGATGTTGCTGCTTCTCTCTAGCTCTGTAGGTATCCCAGATGGAATAAAGAATTAATAAGGCAGGTTAACAGGGGATGGACTAGATGTTCCCCAGAGGTCCCTTCCAACCCCACCCGTTCTGTGATTCTGTGGAGATCAAAAGAAAAAGGAGCAGGTGGGGGAGGGGGATTAACTTCCTCATCTGAATAAAATTTGAGATTATAATTACACTTCTAGCAGTAATCAGCTCCATCTCCAGCCTGACTTGTTCTGGAGAAGCACCAGGATGCCCAGACCCGACAGCCCACAGAGCACTTTACAGACCAATGTGAAAATTACACCTGAACATGGTACAGATCCATCCTCCATGTGGAAATGTGTGGAAATGTTATTTAAAAAGTGGCTTCCTGCCATCTGAACGAAGCAGTCCTGGCTGGCAGCGTGGAGCTCCCAGTGCAGCTGCCCTGGGGCACGCACTGCCAGGCCCCTGCAGCCTCCAGCACTGCAAGGAAAGGGAATGTGGCACTTGTCTCACTGTGCAGAGCCTGGGGCAGCTGAACTGGTCACCTGGCAGCCCCTTCTGCTGGGGAAAGCAAGGCTTTTCACTGGGTCCCCCAGCGAGCACGGCCAGCGTGCTGCTGGGGCCAAGGTGTGCTGAGCCCACTCCTTATCGCTCTCACAGCCCACAGAGGAGAAGTGAAACCCTCTGCTCAGTCAGGGTTTGCCTCAGAGTCACGGCTAGGCTTTGGTGGCAACTCTCTGTGCAGGTTCTGGTGGTTTGTGAAGGCTGCAAACCTGCCTTGGTGTTTCCTCCCATCGACCCACCCGCAGCAGAGCCAAGAAATAAAGTGCATTTCTGGTGAATTGCCCAGCTGCTGAATAATAATGTGCCATTTGGTAACAGTGATGAGGACCCCACTTTGTTTCTGAGCAAAAGACACTGTATATGCCATGAATATTGTTTACATAGGCTTTTGCAGAATCCCACCCCGCATTAGCGCTGTGTCAAACAGGGAAAATGAAACATTTGAGATGTGAAATACAAAGCTGAAGATGAAACACAGGTTTAAACTGTGAGAGATTGAACTTGGACTCATCTTCAATTATTTGGCACTGCACTGCTCTAATTGTATACAGACTGCATTTATTCTGGGGGTTGTTGTCTTCAAGGGTTTCTTCTGGCAAGGCTGAGACAACTGGAGAGAAACTACTGCTGCCTCACCTCTGCCAGGAAACCACGTCCTAAGCACATGGGCTGGCCTGCAACAGCACACAGAGATTTCAGCAGATGGGCTTTCAGAGCTGCTTTCAGCCAGCCAAACCCTTGGGAAGCCCTGAGTGGCCTTCCAGAGGATAAATCCCTGTTTTGTCAAGACTGAGCAGTTTTTATTACTCCAAGGAGGTGTAATCAGTACTTCTCTATGACAACAAAAGGGTGAGTCTGATCCCATGACCAAAACAGTATTCCTCAAATATGTCATCGTTCAGAGATGCTAAAAGCCAGTGTGTCTGAAAGCCATCATTAACTGGCTGTAAGCTTGTAAAAGGAAATTCCAGTATATGTTACAGTATGTAACAAAAATATGTGCCAGGAGAGTCAAGTTAGTTGGGCTTTGGTATCTTCTAAATGTGTGTTTTTGTAAACTATGCTGTATGAGTGCTGGAATTTCTTTAGTGGAGCTGATACAGCTCATGGCCTGCTCCTCACCTCCTGAATGAAAGCTTTTTCCTCTCAAAGCCAGCCTCACCTCTCCCTGTGCTCTCTGCCACAGGGCAGTGCCCGCAGCCTCACACTCTTAGTGCTGGTCCCCACCAGCTGGCCATGGACAGTTCTGCCTCTTCCTTCCTTTCTCTTGCTTGAATTTCCTTGTTTCCTTCCCTGAGCTCACACAGTGGGTACCCAGAGACACTTTGCACATATAAACAGCACTCCATGGACTTGACTACTCTTTTGGGCTGCCCAAGCTCTAGGTAAAATGATAGAAAACTTAGTGTTTATCATTTCTGGCAAAAATTACGTTGAAGGTCTGATTTCAATCAACTAGCTTTCTACTCTAAAGGTAAATTTTATTGTGAAATACCCACTTCCCTTGCAGTAAGTGATCTCTTTCCCTACCATGTGGGTACTGTTTCAGCTGCCAGGCTTTAAGCCTTTACAAGTAAAATTCCAGAAAGTGTCACACTGAAACCCAAAGGCCTATAATTACCACCAGCCCTGACCTCAGAACCTGTACCTAAAGGAAAACCCTGATGCATTTCTGGGGGAGCACTGTTTCCATTGCCAGACCATGCTTGTTTCTAGTGATCATTATTTGCTCATTATTTGGCACTTTCCCAGTAGGGATCACAGAATCACTGAGGCTGGAAAAGCCCTCCCAGCCCATGGATCCCCCCTGTCCCCATCCCCACCTTGTCCCCAGCCCAGAGCACTGAGTGCCACGGCCAGGCCTGCCTTGGGCACCTCCAGGGCTGGGCACTCCAAACCTCCCTGGGCAGCCCCTGCCAAGGCCTGACCACCCTTTCCAGGGAGAAATTCCTCCTGCTGTCCCACCTGCCCCTCCCCTGGCACAGCTGAGGCCGTTCCCTCTCCTCCTGTCCCTGTTCCCTGGGAGCAGAGCCCAGCCCCCCCCCCGGCTTCCCCCTCCTGTCAGGGATTGCAGAGCCAGAAGGTCCCCCCTGAGCCTCCTTTTCTCCAGGCTGAGCCCCCCCAGCTCCCTCAGCCCCTCCTGCTGCTCCAGCCCCTTCCCAGCTCCGTTCCCTTCCCTGCCCACGCTCCAGCCCCTCAGTGTCTCTCCTGTCTGAGGGGCCAGAGCTGCCCCAGCACTGGAGGTGCCCCAGCAGTGCCAGCACAGGGACAGTCACTGCCCTGGCCCTGTGGGCACACCAGTGGCTGGCACAGCCCCGTGGCCATTGGCCTCCTGCCCCCCTGGGCACACCTGGGCTCGTCTCCAGCCGCTGTCACCAGCACCTCCAGGGCCTTTCCCGCTGGGCACTTTCCAGCCCTCAGGCTCCACAGCAGTGACCAAGGGCATCCCTGTGTGAGCCAGGGACAAACACAGCTCTGGAGGGCACAAAAGCTGAGCGATCCTGATGCCCCACATAATGGCACATGTCATACATTAACGAGAAAGGTCTTTCCTGACACTCTCCCAACAGGCTCTCTGGTATCCCGTGTGTCCCCCTGGCACCAGGAGATAACACAAATGGGGCTGCAGCGGTCACTGGAGTCACACCGCAAACAGGCTGAAACGAAATCAAAGCCCTTTGTCATCGAAAACGGGTTCCTGATAAAGGAACACACTTCAAACACTGGGAGCTTAACGTGACAAGACTTTTCGTTTCTTTAACTCAATCAGCTACGCTTTACAGCCCTGCAGTTCCCCCACCCCAGTAAGGGAGTGCTCTCGTTTCCCTCTCGGTTCTTGACCCCTCTGTTCCCCCCTGGGTTGTTCTCCCCCCCTTTTCCCCTGAGTTGTTCTCGCCCCGTTTCCCCCGGTTGTTTCCCCCTCGGTTTTTGTCCCCCCGGTTGTTTCCCGCTCGGTTCCTGTCCCCGTGTCCCCCGTGGCTCCCCCGGTCGCAGCCGGCCCCTCGGAGGGTCGGTCCAGCCGGCCCCGCTGGCGGGACCCGGTGCTCTGAGGGGTCTGTCCCTGCGATCCCCCGGCCCCCCGGCCTTACCGACTCTGCGAGGAGCAGCTGCCCTTTGCGGGAGCCCAGGAACTCCCGCGGCGGCAGCAGCGAGCGCAGCCCGGGCTGCGCGGCCCCGGCGGGCTCGGGCTCCTCCATGGCTGGGCTGGGGCTGAGCTGGGCTGGGCTGGGCTGGGCTGGGCTGGGCTCGAGGTGGGGGCTTGGCCGGGACTTCCCCCCCCTTTTTTTTTTTTTTTTCTCCGAAGGAGGGAAGCGGAAATCGTGACACTGCGGAAATGTGAAAAAAGTTTCAGCATCCCCAAATGTGGGGGGCGGCCCCGGCGCCCGCCCCGGCCCCGCAGGCACCGCCCGGCAGCCCCGACGGCACCGGCTTCATTCAGGCTGCGCTCCCCGCTGCAGCGCTGCCTGCCGGGGAGCCTGCCAGGCTCTTTCCCGTGCCATCCCGAACAGATAAATCCCAGAATCACGGAGCGGTTCGGGTTGGAAGGGGCTGCTGGAGGCCGTCGAGTCCAACCCACGGTAAAGCCTGAAATTCCAGGGATGGAAATGCCTCGGCCAACGCTCTAACAAGCACTCCCATGGCACCAGCCAGCCAGCGGCCACGAGAATGAGCTAGGGAACACCAGGGTGGAAAAAATTCCATTCTAAGGATGTTTACCGGTAGGTGACACCTTTAAGTACACTTAGTAAATAAATAATATTAAATAATGCACTTCAGCCCATTTGTATTTTCTTTTTATTACAGAAATAAGAACAACCATGAAGTTCATTTTCATACGGGTAAAAATGTAATTAAGTTTAGAAAAACAGGACCATTTTCTGTGAAGTTTTAACTGCAACACTGAAACGACATTTGGAAATGTCTGAAAGCCCTATAAACGATACTTGCAAAAACATACATCAATGCACAGGAAATTCCAAGGGGAACACATGAAAATACAAATTCTTTAAAAGAGAGTGGTGAAACAATCATCAGTGGAGAAATCCTTTTACTAACATGGCAATCTTATCTGGTAGGAGCATTCCTTCCTCTCGGTCTAGCAAGGCTAATCTTCTTGCAAAGAAGAACCGTGTCGACAACGCAGAGAACAAGCAATATAAGACCCAAAACCTACAAAAATAACCATAATGTTAGTTCCCCCTAACAGTCCCTATCTTTTGCTGTAGTGAGTCAGCTACTGTTCCTCAAAGCTAACACATCTTCCTAACTTGGTTCTGCCTTTGAAACACGTGTGTGACTCGAGAGAGCTGATAAATTAAATAACACCCGTGTTTACATCCCATCAGCCTCTCACAGAGCCGTCTACACCCTGCTGTGTTTGATGTTTGCGTGAAGCCTTGGAGTTGGTGTGGTGCTCTCCTTGAAAGCTAAGCTAATGCTGCATTATGCCAGACAATGCTTTTATCCTAAATGAAAGGCCTCCTGTCCCTGTGAGGATGGCTTAATTATGGAACTGGCCCGGAGAGAAGTCAGGGAGAAAAGTCAAAATCTATAGAAACAAGCCTAGCAGGAAAAAGAAGTACTGCTCTCCTCTGAAGCTTTGAATGGGAAACATATCCCAAATTGAAGAAAATGTACAGAAGTATTTAAAAAAATAGACAGCCTCAGGCAGGCAACTGGAAAAATATGTTTGCAGAAAGGCCTTGCTGAGTTAATTTGCTCAGCTCCCACCCTTCAGCCTCATCCCACATGCACACCAGGGTTTTTTATGCAAGCACTGAATTATCTGATCAGAGAGAATAATGCTGAGGAGAGCCCAGCTCATGGCAGTTTGTGCCCCAGGAGTACAGACTGTGGGGCAATTCTGTTTCTCACAGAATTGAAGATGTCATACGTTCTGCCCAAACTTGTTTGCCCAGCTACCTGCTTAGTCTGCTGCTCCCACCTTTAATTTCTATTAACTTCCCAACCAAGAATATAAATTCTGTTCTAGCACAGGCAGTCACTTGGCCAGAGTCTCCTTTTTGCTTAGGATGTTGTTGCCAGTGAAGACATCAGCTTCTCATCTTACCGTCTCCTAATCAGATTTTGAAAAACCCCTCTGGTAGGTTTTAGGTTTCTTTGGGTTGCTTGTCACATTTCAGCTCTTCTTGTACTTCTGGAGACTTTAAAAAAAGACTTTCCCTCCTTATTGTTTGTTAATTACATTAGTTTCCATTTGAATTAAAAATACCAGTTGCTTAAAGTATTAAACTGGTTTCATCTTAAAACCACAGAAATCTTACAATCACAGTATGAGCAAAACCCCTTTTCAACTGACGTAATTCCTCACTTTGTGTCAGCAAAAATAATGTACACGTCAGGAGGGAGGTACCAGCATGCCTGCTAAAAAGTTTCAACTCTTTTTAGCAGGACTAGTTAGGCACTTCTTCCTAAACAGTGTAACCAAACTGGATAGTCCTAAAAGAGCTGTGGACTCTCTCACCTAGGACTTCAGTCTGTGGAAGTAAATCCAACTTATGCAAATTTTTCAGTGTTGGTACTTCTCTGCAGTAACTCCTAAGTCTTGTAGCATTTTTAAATTACCAGTGATTTTAGGATTATTTTTAGTTACACTGAATGTGTATCCATTTTTATTTGTGACTGCTGAGTGTGTTCTTCCAAGACAGTTGTTTTTGTGGTCCCACCATGATGTAACTGTACCAAGAGGTTCAAATCACGTGCACTTTAAGAACTGAAATTCATTAACAAGGTTCCTACTTACTCCTCCAGCCAGTGTCCCCTTGTTGCTCTTGACTATTATTGCAAACAAGCACACAACGAGGAGGAACAACGCTGCAATCACCGAGTTGAAAATATCCTGAAACAGCCAGTGGAAGCAAAACATTTATTCTGAACACACCTGAAGAAGAACGTGGATAGCTCCCAACACGGTAAGGGTCTTTAAAAACGACTGGTTTGCTACGGAAATAAGTTACAGCAATATCCCTGCGAGATCGACACTGACACCCAGTGGTTTGGTGGTAAAAGGAGCGTTTGGGATAAAACTTCCTCATTTTACCTTCTTCTTCTTTTTTTTTTTTTTTTTTTTTTTTTAGTCGAATTTATGCAACTTGGCTACACTTGTCAGACTGCAGGAAATAGATGTGCAAGAGGGAGGTAAGAGAACTCGTTAATACGTGAGTGAAAGTGTATGTCTAATTTGTGATGAGCAGGATGCAGAGCACAGTGTTACACAGGGAAGTGATCAGTGCCCGTTTAGGGAGGGGCTGTCACCAGACCTACCCGGCTATCCAGGAACTGAGGGAACAGAACACTCTGTGAGAGGAAAACCTGCTTCAGCATCCATGGAACACTGGGCTTGCTTTAACTGGATAGAAACAGTCACTGAGCTGACTGACAATGACCCTTCTGATGGGGGACGGCCAGCCAGTGCTCACAGCCAGGGCACCAGCACCCACAGTACATCAGCACTCACATCCTGCACATCAGTGCTCACAGCCAGGGCACATCAGCACCCACAGCCAGGGCACTGGTACTCACAGCCCATTGGTACTCACAGCCTGCTCCCCGGTACTCACACCAGGGCACATCTCGCAGCTGGGCACACAGGCACCCACAGCCGGGGCCCCTCGGTACTCACAGCCAGCGGCCAGAACAGCCACCGCATCTTTGCGTCGAGCCTGAGCAGGTAGAGCAGGAGGAACAGGAGGGTGATGCCCATCTCCAGCCCGGCCAGCGCCGTGTAGGCCTCGTGGGCATTCGAGGCCACGAAGCAGAGGAAGGTTGCCAGCGCCAGGAGCTGCGGGACAGGGGGCACGGCGGTCAGCGCTGTGCCGGGCCGGGACCCCGCCGTCCCTCAGCGACCCCGGCCCTTCCGAGGGCACCCCCCGGCATCCCGGCCCCTCCCCGGCCCTTCCGAGGGCACCCCCCGGCATCCCGGCCCCTCCCCGGCCCTTCCGAGGGCACCCCCCGGCATCCCGGCCCCTCCCCGGGCGGTCCGAGGGCACCCCCCGGCATCCCGGCCCCTCCCCGGCCGGTCCGAGAGCACCCCCCGGCATCCCGGCCCCTCCCCGGCCGGTCCGAGGGCACCCCCGGCATCCCGGCCCCTCCCCGGCCGTACCAGCCGGGCGATCTTCAGCGCGCCCCGCGGGGAGCGGGGGAAGGCGCGGTCCAGCTCCAGGCACGCCATGGCGGCGGCACCGGCACCGCTCCGCGGGACAGCCCCGGCACCGAGGAGCTGCCGGTGAGGTGCCGGTGAGGTGCCGGGGCGATGCCGGGGAGGTGCCGGGGGAGGTGCCGGGGCGATGCCGGGGGAGGTGCCGGGGAGGAGCCGCGGGAGGAGCCGCGGGAGGAGCCGGTCCGGCCCCGCCTGTCGGCGCGGGCGGAGGAAGTGCAGTATCGGCGGCGGAAGGCCGTGCGGGCCGGCGGGGATGGGCCATGTGGCGGCGGGGCGCGGCCTGGGCGCGGGGCCGGCGGGGTTTGGGCGGCACCGGGCCCCGCGCCCCGCCCGGGCCCCGCGGCACCGCCGGCCGTGAGTGCGGGGCGGGGGTGCGGGGCTGTCCGGGCGGGACCGGTGCCCCTCGGGATGGGCACGGGCGGCTGCCCGGGATGCGCTGGAGCAGCTCTGGGAGAGCAGGAGCGGGGTCGGACCTTCTGGGGGAACAGGAGCGGGATTTGAACCTCGGGTGCGGCTTTGGGGGAGCAGGATCAGTGTCAGACCGTGAGGGAGCAGGAGCAGGGTCAGACCCTGGCACTCGGGCCGTGCCCGGCCCCTCTGCCCCCCATCACTGCCTTCCTGCCCTCTGTGGGGTGAGGGGTCCGGTAAGCCCAGCATGGCTTGCACAGGTTTTACACCGCAGTTCTGAGGTGTGAGGCACCTGAACCGCTTGTCTTGGAGCCTTCACCCTTCCCCTGCCTTGTAGCTGGGCCTGTGGACCCTGCAGGGGCTGCTCCCTGACTGGCCTTCCCGAAATTCACTTTTCCCCAGTGCCAAGCGAGGAGCAGCAGGAATAACAAAAACCCGGTGGAAGTGTGGGCACTCCCCGTTGGACTGTCGGTAGTGTTAACAATGGTGAACTTCAGCTAAAGCTGTGTCAGTCTGTGCCAAATGTGCCTAGTGCGTGACCCAAGAATGACCTAAAATGCTGGAGGTTGGTAATTCAGCAAATAGTCATATTAAACAACAGAGAACCTAAAAACTTCATGGAGGGGCTCACTTAAGAGGCTCAGTGTAACTAAGTTGTGAAGACCTCCTTGGTTTTAACTGTTGTTTATTTCCATTCTAGATAAATTTCTGATAAAGAAAGATGATAGAAAGAGAGTTGTAAGTATTTGCATTTTGTTCGGAAAATAAAGCGTGCAGCCTCTTTCATTATAATTTCGTTATAATTTGAGCATATGCAGCTGTTGGCTGTGCCTGTGTCACTGTGTGATGCTGGCTCTGGCACTGGCTCATAGTCAGTGCAAGGCTACGCTTGTCTAGTTCTGTAAATTCCAATAAAATTATGAGGGATTTGTCCAAAAATTGTGAGGGATAAAACGGTGAGGGATTGTGTCGGGACAGGTGACAGTTTGGGGTCAGTGTTGCATGTGTAGCCTTGCTGTTGCCCTGTACAACCCTTCCTGGGAGGTGTTTTTTTTTGTTTGTTTGTTTTTTAATTTGGAATCTAATCACTTGAAGCTATAAATTGTTTTAAGACAGCTGAAAAAAAATTCTCTTAGTTTATTTTAGTTGTTCAAGTTTCTGAAAATAAAAACATAGTGCCTCTTAAGGCTTTAGCAATCCTTCCCGGGAAATAATCTCGTCACAGTGTACATTTTCACACACACTGTTCTCACAGTGACTATTTCTCATCAGATATGCATCGAGGGGAACATTGCAAGTGGGAAAACAACATGCCTGGATTATTTTGCTCGAACTACCAGCATTGAGGTACTGGATCTACAGTTCTTTATTCCCAACGTGCAGCAGTTGCTTGTCCTGGCAGAACCAGCACTTTGGAAGTGTTGTCCTCAGGCACATAGGAAGGAGCAGCAGGTTGTGAGCCAGGGGATTACTGAGGTGCCTCCCCATCTCCCAAGATTTTATACTCAGATTGCAGAAAAGAAAGTAATAAAGTACAGAGTGCAAAGAGATCAGTCAAACCTGTGGATCAGAGTCTGTGCCTCTGCAAAGTAACAGCAGCACACAGGGGCTGGGCATGTTTGGACATGCCTGTTGGCCATCTCATGTCACTGAAATCGTAGGTGTGTCTTATAATAAGCAAAGTAAAGAAGTAATGATGTAAAAATACTCATGTCACACACTTGAGATTCTAGTGAATAGATGGCTTTTTTTAAAAATGGGAAATCTGTTTGAACTGTTCCTGAAGGTTTCGTAGACTGATTTGATATTTGATTTCACGTTGCTTAGAACAAGATTGAGGGAAGGGCAGGCTTATTGTATTTTTAAACAAAATCAAGATCAAACCTCAGTGAACAATTGTTTTTGTGTACAACAGATATTGTTGTATAATACTTTCCCCAGCAGAGCTGGCAATACATTTGATAGCAAGTTTTAGGAGTCCCCATGGAAGTGCTGGGTTGCCAGATGTTATTTGGTAATTTAACAGAAATGACTCTTACGGAGTAATTAACTGTTAACCCCAAAGATAGCAGACTTTAATTTGCATATAGTGCAACATTTTCTTAAGTAACTAGTTAATTCTCTTAAGCCTGGTTTTGTGGTTGGAGTTTTAGACCCTGTTTGAACCAGGCAAGTCTTGTGATTTTACCTATTCAGGGTAGAAGCTTTTCTGATTAATTTTGTAAGGGTTTTGAATACATTTTGTTTGTTAAAACACAAAAATAAAACTAATGTGATTGCAGTCTGATCCTCCTTCTGCCAAGTGTTACTTTCTGAGACATGAATTTGTGAGGCAATGGGCAGGTCATTAAATGAAGTCAGGACTCTGCTAAGCACTTCTTTCCCTTATGTGGGACTGATTTTGACCCAAAACAAAAGAAATTCTCTCCAGGCTCATGAGGTGTTTTACTTTGGCAGTTTAAAAATGCTAAGATGGTGTTGTGTATTGATATTTTTCTATTTTTAGAGTTTTTGCTATTACTTTTTGTGTTCAGGATGCAGTGCTGTTTTTTTAAGAGGGGTGAGCTTTCCAATACAAGTAGTGAATACTCTGACTTACTGAATGAGTAATCCTTAAAAGTAGTTGCAGCCTTGTGGAGTCACTTAAAGTGTTTTGCATCTAAAACATGTTTAACATGGAGTTAACATGGAGTTCTTTTTAACAAGGTTTTGAAAGAACCGCTGGTCAAGTGGAGGAATGTTCGTGGTCATAATATCCTGGTAAGTGACAGGAATGATGTCTGCAGTTACAGTGACTGTTCTTGTAGAAATACATGTGTGACAACTCCTTACCAACCAGCAAAACTGTTTGGAAAGGGTGTGGTCAGAACCTCACACAGCAAAAAGTAAAGCTTCATGAAGCAAAAGGCTTTTTACTGTGATTAAGATATAATAGAAACATTGCATATAAAATGTAGTTTTGGCATCCCATCTTACATGGGATGAGCTAAAGAAATTCCCATAAAAGTAAGCCCTGAGTGTGACAGTTGTTTCTGAATCTGCTTATGCCTGTTCCAAAGGATCACTCAAAGTGAGGGGTGGATCTGATCAGTTAATGATGTTTGACAGCAACACTCTGCACAGTTGTGGTGCCCCAACATAGGAAGGACATGGAACTGTGGGAGCAAGTCCAGAGGAGGCCACAAAGGTGATAAAGGGACTGGAGCACCTTCCCTGTGGAGACAGGAGGGGAGAGCTGGGGCTGTTCAGCCTGGAGAGGAGAAGGTTGTGCAGAGACCTCACAGCACCTTCCAGGGTCTGACTGTTCCTCAGGAACTGGAGTGACAGGACACAGGGAATGGCTTCACACTGACAGAGGGCAGGGTTAGATGAGGTGTTTGGAAGAAACTGTTCCCTGTGAGGGTGGGCAGGCCCTGGCACAGGTTGCCCAGAGAAGCTGTGGCTGCCCCAGTCCTGGAAGTGTCCAAGGCCAGGTTGGATGGGGCTTGGAGCAACCTGGGCTGGTGGAAGGTGTTCCTGCCCATGGCAGGGGGCGGAACTAAGTGAGCTTTAAGATCTGTTCCAATTCCTTAACATTCTATGATTCTCTGATTGCTGAAGACAGGAGAGCTCACCCCAGCTGAGGTGTTGAGGGTTTGTGTTTTTTGGGTAGCCATGGCTCCTTGGAACTGTTCCCCACGAGGACGTCCTGGGGTCACAGCTGTGCTCTGCCTGCACTGCAGACTGGCTTTGCTGGGCTGGTGGAACTGGTTCCTGATGTCAGTTCTGCTTAGGGATCACCTGCCCTGCAGGAACCTCTGCTGGCTGAGGACAGATCTGTGCTCAGGGTGGTGGAATTTGCTGCCAACACAATGGTGTGGACACACCCCAAAGCACACAAGGCCAAATGTGTGTGTGATACTATCAGTGCTGCCATAGGTCCTCTGGAAAAGTAAATTCTCCCTCCTAGGAGTTACTGATGCCTTACTTTCTTATTGTTAGTAGAGGGGCGGGTTGTGCTTGGCATCAGCACAGCAGTCTGTGTGTTTTGGAGCACTGAGAAAGTCTGATGCTGGGCAGGGACAGGAGGAGGAGGTCAGATCTGTGGGCTCAAGCTGTGCTGCTGCCTTAAAACTTGTCACCTCACCAAGTAGACACTGAATGATGTCTTATTTTGAGTGAGATCTTTCCTGTGCTTTGCAGGATAGAGTTGCTGGTGAATGTATGTGTGTGTGGAATTGCAGCAGTCAGAAAGAGTAGAGGAGCTCCCTGAGACCTGCTTTGAGGATCCTGTAGGAAGAACAGGGGTGTGTGTTCCAGGACACCTTTTCTGAGGCCCAGACCACACTTACTGGACCATTTATGATTTCTAGCTGGACTGGGTATACTGAGAGTCTGTCAGTGCACAAAAATAAAGTAGCAGATATGTTGTTTTTTAATTACTAAACATATTTGAACTGTCTGACTGGAGCTGTGCCTTGGTTCTGACTGCCCCATGTGCAGAGTACTTAATTCCTGCTGACTTCAGTGAGCCTTCCACTTAGGTCACCAGAGCCATAATTCTGACACCTGCACTGTGCAGAGCAAACCATCCCTTAATTCTTGTCCAACCTGGTGCTGGCTGTATAAGTGCCTTTGTTGTAGCAGTGCTGTTGTGCTGTAAGAGCTTCCTAAATACCACCTTCACTGTGTGGCTCTGACCTGACAGATGTCTGTGTCTTCCTTCCATCCCTGACCCCAGGGCTTAATGTACGAGGATGCTTCCAGGTGGGGGATAACCTTACAGACTTACGTCCAGCTGACCATGTTGGAGCAGCACACCAGGCCAATGGTAAAGAGACATTTCTTTTATAATTTAAAAGAGAATTAGGTGTGGTTATGAGTGCTAAATGCTTTTAACCTGGTGTTAGGATCTATTTGTGTTCTGTTTGTCCCTGCAGTGAGGAGGAGTTTTTGTGGTGCAAAGACACTGTGTGTGCTCTGGGGGCAAAACATCTGCCTCCTGCCTGCTCAGAACTTTCACTTCCCCAGACCAGTGCTGCTGCTTTGGCACCAGCCTGAGGAGCTGGAATCTCCCTCATCTCACCTCAGTGACTTGTCTGTAGTTCTGCTATTTCAAATCTTTGGCAAACATTAAATAATCTTGTGTTAGGATTCATTTAGGCCTTGCTTCTTGTGTTTATTCCAAGTGCTTCTAACGTTTGCTACTGCTTTTATTTCAGATGGTTTACATCGGTTTTTCTTGTAATATTTTCTTTCTCTCTGTTGATTTTTCATGTTCTACATTTTTACCAAGATTTTTATTCTCTTTCCTTCAAACTCTCTTCCTTACATTCCATGCTGTCTTCCATTCCCTGATTACAAGATGTGATCTTAGGTGCCATACTTCTACCTTAATGATTGTGGTTAAGTTTTATTTTCTGGGTCTGTGTCGGGGCAGACTTTCAGCAGCACCACCTGTGAGTGATACTGCACATACCAGCATTAGGTTTTCGAAGAGTTGTTTTGCCAAGACGACAGAAATCCTGTTCTGCTGCAGAAAAAGTTCATTCAAATGAACCAAATGCTGAAATTGTGTATGAGTAGCAAATTAGTTATGTAGCTGTTAAATAATGCAGTGACCGTAAATAAGATCAGGAATCCTTGTGGGTTTTTTTGTGGTTCCCACCCTCCCAGTAAGTTTGTTTGTCACAAAATCTGAAAGAAAGCTCTGAAAATCTTATGTGTTTCATATAATGTGCAGTGTGAGTCTGAAAGGATAACAAACATGCTGAAAAATGTACACTGTCAAGGTTTATTTTGTAGACTTCCCCAGTCCGAATGATGGAGAGATCAATTCACAGTGCAAAGCACATCTTTGTGGAAAATTTGTACAGGAGGTATGGTACATGGATTTCTACTTCACTTTCTTAGATTAATTAATTTTTATATCCATATTCATATCTGTATGTATATATATATAAAATCAACTGGTAATTTCTTTGGTAATATGCATCCAAGTGGCAGTGAAATGTGTCAGTTCTGTGCTGGAGTGGCAGTGTGCTGGGTCAGGGTGTGCTGCCCACTGGGAAAATAAAACCTGTAGGACATGGAGAGCCTTTCTCAGCAGTGCTGCTGTGTTTTTGGCACAGAGTATTAGTTGGACAACATCTGTTGAAGTTATCTGCTCTCCAGCTGAATACAAAAATCCTGCTAAATTAAAGCAAACACATGCTGAACAGGTTAAAAACCATGAGGATATGAAGAAAAACACTGTAGGAAGGAGGGAACTAGGTAGTGTTACCCAACCTGGCACCCAGGACTGGTGTTTCTTGCAAGCAGGAACTTGAGGGAGAAGCAGGAACTCGAGTCACTGCTCTGGCTCAGGATTTACAGGACCAAAACAGGCTGCAAACCTTGGCAGGCTGTGAGTAAAGAAACAACAATCACTTATTACCTGTCCCAATGTCCAACTCACGCCTCCCAAACTAACCAAAGCAGTGCAGTAACCACCACTGAGTGTTTTGGGGTTGGTTTGTGTGGAATGCTGACCTTTTGTTTAACAGGCTGTTGTTTTAGGGGGTTTTTCAATGGCCTCAAGGCACAAACCAGTTTGTTGCCACAAGGTGTCATCCGTGCTGCAGGAATGGCTGTGGAAGTGGGGAGAGACAGCAAGATGTGAGGCAAACAGAAAGACATTATTTGTTTTTAATGACTGACTTTTCTTTCTCACTGTAGACAAAGTGCTTTTGTCCCAAAGACTCAGAACTCAGTTGCTGTGAGGCAAACTTGTGTCAACTCCATGTGATAATTTTGTAATAACATTTTAGGGGCACCTGAGGTGTTCCATGGCTTCAGCACTCTTCAAAGTTGGATGAGAAGCATTTGCTTTGTTTGGTTTCAGCAAGCTAGAAGGCAGCTGGTGCTACCAAGAGCAAGCCAGAAGAAAAGGGTGCGTGCAAGGATTTTAAATAAAACAAGGAATAATTGGGGCTGTATGAAAACAGCTATTTTGTGTCACATTAAAGGAATAAGTAAATCTGGCCTCCCTCATACCCTTGTTGTTGGTAGTGGCCAAAAGCAAACTGCAGAGCAGAGGTTATTTTGTGCTTGCTTTTCTGTAAGAGAAGACACTGCTTAGGGTCCAGTCCTAAAGATGGAGAAGAATCATGGAATTGTTAGGTTGGCAGAGACCTTTATCATCATCAAGTCCAACTGTTCCCCAGCACTGCCAAGGCCACCACTAACCCTTGTCCCCAGGTGCCACATCCACATGGATTTTAAATCCCCCCAGGGATGGGGACTCCACCCCTGCCCTGGGCAGCTGTGCCAGGCATGGGCAACCCTTTCCATGAAGGAATTTTTCCTGATCTCCAACCTGCCCCTCCCCTGGCACAGCCTGAGGCTGTTTCCTCTTGTCCCTTGTTCCCTGGGAGCAGAGCCTGCCCCCCTGGCTCTCCACTGCTGTCAGGGAGCTGGAGAGGCAGAGAAGGTCCCCCCGTTGCTGTTCTCTCATGTCTACACAAACTCTGCTCCTTTAGGAGAATGGTCAGTTGAAAACAGGGATGAAGAGCTGTGGGAATATCAGGGATATCAGTTCTCCTTTGATCCAGTCACTCAGTTTTGGCTCTGCAGGCTTTGTCCCAGAGGGAGAAACAGAGAAAGATGCACAGCAATGATGGAAGGTTTCAGCTGTGATCAACTGCTGGGGGTGGCCGTGGCAGGCAGAGAGAGGCACGAGTGTCCAGGGTCTGCCACTGCAGTCTGAGTGCAGCTGTGTCTTGAGTCTGGCATGAAGGGCACACTCATGTCAGCTGTAAAACCAGGAGAAGTCTGGATGTGTGTGCAGGATGTGCTGCAGGGTGTGAGCACCACCCATTCCCTCTGGCCCCCTGGAGTTCATAGTTATGATACAAGGCTTGGTCTGTTCAACTTCTGCAGTGAAAACTTGACTTGGTTGGAGTCAAATGTCAGCAAACCTCAGAAATGAGAACACCCCTTTGTGCCTTGTACATTCCCTGTATCTTGATGGATCTTGAGCCTGATCCAGAATCCTCACAGGATTATCCAGGGCGCTCCATGACAAAGGGGAAGCAAAGGGCAGGTCAGTGCAGAATGGACTTGGATGTTACCATCTTTTAGGGTAAGAATAGTGGTGCTTTTTCTTATTTCCAATTCATTTTGATGTTCCAGTTTTCCCCATCTATCCTGGAGCAAAGCAGCAGCATCAGTATTTGGCTTTATGTAGGTCCCTGCTACCCAGGAATGGATATGATTGGTGTATTAGAAGAATAGCAGTGATTTGTTATCCCATTTCTGGGGGGGATATCCCATTTCAGGAAGTGGGATATCCCATTTTAGGAGGGGAGACATTCAGCTGGATGGCAGATAAAGAACAGAGGGGTTACAAATAGGGCGTTTTGCTTTCTTACAAACTTAAAGGGCAATACCTTTCTGTATTACCTCTCCTCAGTTTTGCCAGTGATCGAAGCATGTTGCCAGCAGAATGGCTTAGAAATCCGTGGAATCTTGTTCTTCACTATTGAAATGTTGTAACTGGTGTGAATCATTCAGCTGCAGAGGACAGGAGCCCTCCAACTCCATCTCTTTTTATACTTTTATTGCAGAGGCATTTAGGAAGGAGTGTGGAGTATGTGTTGCTATCACCAGTTTTGAAGACAGGGTAGTGTAAAACCAGTAATATTTGACTACTAGGAATATGGTGATAAGTGAAAATCTGATACTAATAATCCCAGAATGTTTTTATTATAAAATACTAATGTGATTCTTAACATGTTCTCTATAACTCCCTGTCTGATATTTTATTATTCTTGGTGAGGTAACTTTGGGACAGTTGTCTCCAACATTGTCCATGCTCTCTGAGTACAGAGCTGCAGTTAAGCATGTTGAATATCTCACTACTCTTTCCACAAATATTTCTTACAGTGGCAATAAATTTGTTTACAGAGTCATTTTTTTTTCACTGCTCTTTACTGTGGCTTCTGTAAGGAATTGTCAGTGCTGCTGAGTAAACCCAGCCCTTCTGGTGCCATGCACTGCAGATGGATTTGCGATGATCCTGATCCAAAGAACCTGAGCAATAAATAACCACTGACACTAATTTGCTGTTATTGTGTGAATGTCACTGTGGTAATGTTTTCTTCCTTGTCACCAAGTAATTATGTCTTAACTGTAGTGGAAAAAAATAATTAATGTTTGTAACTGTTAATAATAGAAACTTTGTTTTAATAAGTACTTAAAAGAAAAATATTTGGTCTTTCTCTTGTATAGACAACGGTTTATATGGCTTTCAATTTGGGTGGGAAAAACACTGGTGGTGTTTTCATTTCATACATGCTGGAGTAAATGGGGAGCAATTCCAGTCAGGTGAGAAAACCCAGAGTTTAGAATTGATCTCTGCGTGCTGTTCAGTGAGTGATGGCTCTTCTGTTTGCTCAGTGGAAAAATGCCCGAGGTGGATTATGCTGTGCTGAGTGAATGGTTTGACTGGATCAAGAGCAACATCGACGTCTCAGTGGATTTGATAGGTAACATCTCCGTGGGATCTGGAGGGCTGTGTTTCTGGGTGGGCACCTTTACTGGGAGTAAAAACAGTTCTCGTTTGTTGGGTAATAAATAATCACATTATTCACTATAATAGTGGCTGTAACATGGAGCATCAGACAGCTTGGATTTGTGGGTGGTTTGTGGATGGATTCATGGTGGTGCCAAAGGGGGGCTCAGTGGTGGTACCCAAGTCAGGATTCTTTCCTTCTATAGTTCTCCTTTGCTTTTAAAGCTGATCCTTGATCATAACTAGTCTAATTGTTGTTATAACAGTTTATCTGCAGACATCTCCTAAAGTTTGTTATGAGAGGTTAAAAAAACGATGCAGGGAAGAAGAAAAGATCATTCCTCTGGTAAGGAGTTCCTCCAATACATGTGGTTACAAGGAGCCTTAAAACCATAATGATTCCAATCTAAATACTAAAATGGTACCCTGAGTGTACTGCCAAAATGTGGTGCAGCTGTTTCCACTGCAAATTAGAACCTGAGTATTTAATTTTGATTTATTTTTAAAAAATGATCTGTCATGCACACTGACTGTCCCAAGTGTTATGTTTTAGTAATCACTGTACTATAGCTGACTTTAGGTGCAATATTAATCAACTGGTAATCTTCTCTAAGATGTAAAAAGTCAATTGCTTTTGTACCATTAAATGGCATAAAAGCACCCACTTGAAGCACAAATACCTGGGTATGCAGGTGCTGGAGATTTCTGTGAGCACTTTGTTGTCTGCTGTTACCAGGATGTTTGTGCAGGAAAAGTGTCTCTGCTTGTGTCTGAAAAGCAGCAACTCTGGACAATTTTAACTGTGGGAATGTGCTTTAAAATTAACTGTGGTAATGGAAATTAACTGTGGTAATGGAAAGATCCCTTTCCATGCCAGTTTGGTGACTGAATTAACCTGGGCTTGTAAAGAAAGCCTGAGCAGACACAAATGGATTTCCCTCTGCACACACAGCATGTCTTCTGAACCTCCAGCACAGGCAGCCCAGGAGCTGCATTTTGGGCCATGTGAAATTTTGCCTTGAGAATAAATCCTTGTTCTGATGGACTGGAAGAGTCCTCATGTTATTTGACAGCTCCTGCTGAGGGCTGGGGGAGCAGTTCTGAATGAACAATTTGAAGAAAAAACCACCAATAGCTGATGATAGGCAGAGAAGCTTTTAGAGGAAATTGAGTCAGGAGAAAGTGAACTGGGAGTTTTAGGAAAATGTATTGACACCCAAAGTGCCTCCAGTAACATGTTCTGTGCAGCCTTGCCCTTTCTGTGCTTACTTCTCTTTGTTGTATTTTCCTCTGTAAAATCCTGAACCACTTTATACCTGTGGGAGACAGTCATGGTTGCTTGATCTTAAAAGGAGCTGAGAGCTCCTGTGAACTGTGTCTTTGAGGTTCTTCATGGAGTAAAACCTTGTGCTGGGAATTAAATTTTTGTGAAACCTTCAGATGCTTTTTATGTTTTGTTAGTGGAAATACCCAGTGCTGGCTTTTCTGTGTGTTTAACTGCTTACCAAACGGATAAACTGCAGTGTGTGTTTCATCCCTGGGCATGTGTGTTATTCCAGTGCCTCTTTTCCAGGAATATTTAGAAGCTATTCACGAGCTCTATGAAGAGTGGCTCATTAAACGTGCACTGTTTGAGGTTTCCTGCCCAGTGCTTGTGAGTATTACTTTAATTATAACCAATTAGGCATGTGGAGGATTGTGCTTTTCAAATAATAATAAGAGCATTATTTAGTGATAGAAGTAAATAAATCTGCTTTTCTGGTAACCTTGGAGAATGAGAACCTCAGAAGACTGTTTACAGACATGTGTAGTGTATAGCATGAAAGTCTGGTTTTCCATTTCTCTGTGGAATTTGAGGGTCTGTTCACTGTGATTGGTTGCAGGATCAGCCATGTTAACTTTTCAGGGAATGCCAAATTTCAAACAGAAAGTGATTTGGACAGACCCCAGGAGTATCTTGGTTTGGCTTCAGTGCTGGTCCTCTTCTGTTTTGCTCAAAACCCCCCATGTTTTATGGTGTCAGGTATTTCTAATGTTCATGTTCTTCTTTTCAAGGTTATTGGAGCTGACCATGACATGCAGAAAATGATAGAAAAGTATGAAGAAAAACGGGACCAAATACTAAACCCATCTGATAGACAACACCATTTATAGAAGCCTGTGCTTGTTGTACCAAATAATGTTTAGGAAGTCTGATTTGGTATTTTTAATATTTAAATATAACTGGTTTTGGTTTTGCACTATGCTTTGTAGAATGTTGTGGACTTATAGCTATGAAATGTTCAGGTTCAAGTCAGGAACAGAATATAAACCAATTCCTTTTTGTGTTTTTGGGTTCTCCATCACTTTTACTGTGTCAAATCTCTTCAGCTAAAATATGGCTGTTTCTCTCATTTCCCAGTTCACTGCTACTTCCTAGAAGTAACCTAAGTGTCTTCTTTATTTTTCCCTAAAGACAACCCCGGTTTTGTAATTTAAAATAAATGGTTTGTTACTACCTGTCTCTGAAGCAAAGAACTGAGGCTGCTGTTGGTGAAGCCCCTAGGGTGAATTGAAATGACACCCAGGGACTGGTGTGTGCATGAGGGAGGTGTTTTTATTACAGTTATTACAGCCCAACCCCAGCAAGGCCATGGAGCAGATCACTTTGGGTGTGCTCACACAGGACAACCAGGGCTCAGGCCCAGCCAGAACGGGTTAGGGAGGGACAGGTCCTGTCTGACCACCCTGATCTCCTTTCATGGTCAGGTGAGTGTCTGGTGGATGAGGGGCAGGCTGGGGATGTGGCTGCCTGGCCTTCAGCAAAGCCCTGGACACCATCTCCCACGGCACACGCCTGGAAAAGGCTTGGACAGGGCACTCTGTGCTGGGTCAGGAGCTGGCTGAGGGCCGGGCCCAGGGAGCTGCATCCAGTTCTGGTCACCAGTGGTGCCCCCAGGGATCAGTGTTGGGCCCAGTTCTGTTCAGTACCTTTATCGATGAGAGAGTTGAGTGCACCATTAGCACATTTGGGTGTGGGGTCAACCAGGCCAAGTGCCAGGTCCTGCCCTTTGGCCACAACCACCCCCTGCAGCTCCAGGCTGGGCAGAGGGGCTGCAAAGTGCCCACGGGGAAAGGCCCTGGGGGTGCTGGTGACAGGGCTGGACACGAGCCAGGTGTGCCCAGCGGGGCAGGAAGGTCAAGGGCACCTGGCCTGGATCAGGAATAGTGTGGCAGCAGGACCAGGACAGTCCCCACTCCCCTGTGCTGGCACTGCTGAGGCCACTCGAGTGCTGTGTCCAGTTTTGGGTCCTCCCTGCAGGAACACCGAGGGGCTGGAGCGTGTGCAGGGAAGGGAACGGAGCTGGGAAGGGGCTGGAGCAGCAGGAGGGGCTGAGGGAGCTGGGGGGGCTCAGCCTTGTACTGAGGTGGGGGTTGGGCTCTGCTCCCAGGGAACAAGGGATTGGACAAGGGGACAGTCCTCAGCTGCACCAGGGGAGGTTTAGGCTGGACAACAGGAAGATTTTATTCACAGAAAGGATGATTAGATGCTGGAAAAAGCTGCCCAGGGAGGTGGTGGAGTCCCCATCCCTGGAGGTGTTCAAGGAGTGGAAGAGGTGGGATGTTCTTTTTTATTATTAGAGGAAGCAAATGAAGTGCATCAAGTGAAGTAGCTTTGTTAAACAGGTCTCACCAGTTTGAAATCTTGGGTCTTACTCTAACCCTACCCACACTAGTGCAGTTCCAGTGAGCTCAGCACGGTCCTGCTCTACAGGACACCACAGTGTAGCTGTAGTTCTGTAGCAGTTCCCACTGAATTCAGAGGCAAAAAAAGAAAACCCCAAACCACAGATTTGTAAGCGATTGCAGGATGGCTTTCAGGCTGTTTCACAGCCAGCTTTCTGTAGAGAGCTTATTTCTCTCCAGTGTTCATGAGATCCCAAGCCCTGCTATGGAGTGAAAACACAGGGTGCACAGAAAGGCATTTGTTGTTCCTTTCAAATGGTTATAAAAAATCCTAGAATTAATTGATTTCTTAACTGCTTTGGATTCTCAGATTTTACTTCTTTTTACAAAGAAAAATACAGATGGTTCTTTGGGTTTAGATCATGATCAGTTTATTATGACCTGCAGGTACTTGGACAGTGAACCAGTGGGGGTTTCATTCAGAACTCTTCAGCTCAAGTGTTGAGCTGCCCTTCTCTTGTGCTTTACCCTCTGAATGTTCTCTTCAGGGTAATCCTTTCAATGCAGCACTTTGGACTGTTTTCACCTTACCTTTTCTGTGTAATTTTAGGGGAATGATCCCTGAAGTACAAGATACATATAATTTATTTTCCCTAATAGTTTTGGTTGGTTTAGGTGGAGCAAGCAAGGCATCAGTGAGCACTTTGATCACATATTGCAGACATGGGTCTGGCACTTGGAGGACATAAATATTCAGTGATTTGGCCTTTCAGCACCATCTGATGGCATTGCTTGTGGAGATCACTGCCTCTCCTTTGCAGTTTTGTGGTAGGACTAAAACCCTTGCATTGAAGGGACTGCATCAAGTCAGGAAATGCAGTTCATGTCTCGTTAGTCCCATTTGATGGGCTATTTTTTTTTCCAAATCACTACAACTTATTAATAATGAGTGCACTGAGCATTTCCTGGATTAGTACTGAGTTAATACTAAGGCTTGTGATCCCAGTAATGCCATGCTATGGGTGTGTTGTAAGTTTTTAGAATTCTAGCTTAAAAATATGATTTTGTGTCCTAATTAATTATTTTTCTTATTGAAGCTTATTTGTAGGGGGACAGTGATTATTCTTAAAACCTTCTGTTAAACTTTCAAACCTTTTTCTTCTATAAAAGAGTTCAAAAGAACTGTTTCTTTGGAAACGCTTCTATACCTTTGAAGTTCAGTCATCTGCAGTTCGTTCTAAATTCTGACTTCATTAAGGGTTGCAGAAGCCCAGGATGCATGTTTTGCACAGTCCAGAAAATCTCACTTAATGGTTTAGTACAGAGAAATCTCACAGCCCAGAGGATGTCACTGTGATTTGTCAGGAAAGAGCCCTGTGAACAGTTTTTGTCCATAATAACTGTTCCTCACAACCTCACCCAAAGCTGGAGGCAGCCCTTGGTGTGAGCTTGGGCAGAGTTCTGATCCCCCCACACTGCTGGAACCAGAGATGGCAGAGCTTCATCAATTAGTTGTTCATAAAGCAGATCTTTACATTTAGCTCCTGAGCTTTTTCCATGTGCTCCTCTTTGAATTTTTTGAGGGCTGAACGTCAATTATAAACTATTCATACAAAATTAATTTCGGCTAGTATTTTAACTACACATGAAACAACAAAGCACTTTTAGCATCCAAAGCACAGCCCCATATTAGCCACTGTGAAGAAAATTAACTCCACCCCAGCCAAAACCAGCACACATTGAAGTGCTACTGGAGAAGCTGCTTGATGCAGTATTAAAGTGTCCTTCTGGGTAACAAGTGTATAAAGAAGCACTGAAGACTGTGCTTAAGTACAGTACCAGTGGCTAGGGGCTTTTCTAAATTAACTAAATGTTGTGTATGCCAGAGGCTCTCCCTGCTGGGAGTCAGCTTCCAGCTGATCCCACATTCCTGCTCCCATTCCTTCTCAGCACACAGCACTGCCACTTCCAGAAGATCCCTGATCCTGGCTCTGGTGTCACTGCGACCCTTCTCTGCTGACATTTCTTCCTTGACACTAAAAGGGCAAAGAATGGCATTTTTCTCCTTAATTTTAGTGAACTGAACTGGTTTACAGAAAAATTCCATGAATCCTGGTATGGAATGAAGTGGCAGGAGCAGGGACAAGGGAAATGGCATCAGTAGCTGGATCTCTCTCCTGGTGGCAGTGAACAGTTACGACGCTCAAAGCTTCTCTTGAAAACTGGTGATAGCCACAAAATATTCTGGTTATAAAACCTGGAATACAGGTTATTGCCTCTCCAAACCCACGAGTGTTCACAGGGCTGTTTCCCTCTTCAAATCTTGAGGAATGTGGTCAAACTTTCTAACCTTGTTCTCAGCTGCAGGCAGGGGGAAGATCAGCTCAGAGCAGCTTCCAAGGAATGCAGTGAGCTAACAAACATAAGTACACTGCAGTACAGCATTTGTGAAGCTAGAAAGCTGGCCCTTCCACTTTAGAAGATTTACCTCGTACTGGAAGAATACTCCAGGAACAGGTCTGTGAAGGGGGAAAAAAAAGCAGTATGCTTAACTGAAGAAACCTGTCTGGCATCAGAAACAGCCAGAAGGAATCTGGCTAATGAATGAAATGGATTGAAATGTATGGAAGTTTACCCTTTAGAAAGGTGACCACTCAGGTTTCCTTGCCACAGGGGCCACTAAGACTTTGTGTAACTACTCCTGCTTTTTACTGTCCAAAAGCAGGGATGTGGTTTTGGTTTTTTTTTAAAACTGTTTTGACAAAACTAATCATCTCCTTGAAAAGATGATCAAGGCCACAAGTGAGAGGCAAAAACCCCAGGCAGATTAGAAATAAAGCACTGGTAGAGTCAAGTGTGATGGCATAACAATCCTTGGTCGGTCCTGTCAATAATGACATAAGGCTCCTGGTTTTCACTGAGTTCTGAATTCCAGTTCTCCAGAGTTACTTCACTGGATTCGGGAGGGTCATGTTCAGGCTGCAGGAGGGTCCTTCTGTCCCGTGTGCTGGTCCTTCTTGGGTGGGAAGGGCGAACATCGATGCTCTGTGGTGGGATGTAGGTGAGGTTGGGGGGCTCCCTGATGTGCCTGAAGCCCTCAGAGGCCGTGTGTGTCTTACCAGTATCCATGAACAGTCTCTTGCCATCAGAACCAGAGGTGGAATGCTCCTTGTTCCCAGCAGCACAGCACAGGTCTGAGGATGGCTCAGCATGTGCAGCTGCCCTGTTCTGCAGCTCAGCATCAGCCAGGTATGTGTGTTTGAGTTTGGAGTGATTACATTCTCTTACGTGCCTGTCACTTGCCCTTGCACATGCTACTGCTGCAGCTTGGCCAGTTTCCTCCACTGGATACATCAGATCTTCCTGAGTGTCCTTGATCTGCAGTTTTGTGAAAGTTAAAGACAGATCACAAACCTCCTCCTCCCTGGGGACAGTCTGGGCAGAGGCAAAGTCCGTGTAGGGCAGAGACTTCAGCTCACCGGGTCCCTCGGCAGGGTCTGGGTCTGTGCAGTTCATGGCATCCTTGATCTCTGCTTCAATGGATCCTGGGGGCAGCTGTGGAGCTCTGAACTGCACGGGGGCTGAGCTGTCACAGGGGCAGTCAGCAAACATGGCAAAGGCTGGGGGGCCGCTGGCTGCTGGTGACAGCGGCACAGGCCCCAGCTCAGCCCCAGGTGTCTCCACAGCCACTGCCAGGGCACATTCCTCACTCACACCGGCTCTTGGCTCTGTCTCAAAGGCCTTTGGAGAACGACTCTCACTGAAAATAGGTGTTTGTCCAATGACAATGTCACTGTATTTGACCAGGAAGTCCTCGCTGTCCGAGCACTGCCCCGGCAGCCGCGTGGTGTTGATGCCTTGCCTGGGGAGTGCCGGGGGGCTGGTGGTGGATGGAGCAGCTGCTGCCTCAGCCAGCCTGTCCTTGATCTCCACATTCCCAGCAGCCTCAAAGGACAGAGGGCAGGGAGCTGAGCAGTTCTGCTGGGGAGCGAGGCACAAAGATGCCTCACTGCTTTCTTCCTCTTCCAGGTTTCCAGCGTCTCCTCTCTGGGGTGGCTGATCCCTGTCCTGCTCTCCCTGCTGCCGCTGTGTTTGTGTTCTCTCCTGGAGGGGCTCCTCCAAATTGCCACCTTTTCCTTCACTTGTCATTTCCAGGATGGTTTCACACTCGATCCTTGCCAGGAATATTTCAAACGCAGTCTGCTTTGTTTCCTCATTGTTTCTCTTTCTGACAAGTGAAAACTCTGTTGCTGTTGTTGCAACGTACCCTATTTTCTCCAGGAGTGCTTTGACAGTGTCATCTGGGAGCACTGACTGGATGTAGTAGACAAAGTTACCAGTGAATGTCTGAAACAGAAGGAAACACAGAAAAACAGGGAGGGAAGGGGGTGGAAGAAAACGTGAAAGACTGAAAATCAAAAATACTTCAGAAATTGCTTACATCTTTCAAAAAACCCGTGTTCACGAAAGTCTGAATTGTGAATTGCAGTGAGCGAGGCTTTCCTAAAGCATTGTTTTGTCAGCCTCTCAAGCATCAGAGCTTTGCTACAGCACAGTAGTTTCAGTGAAGTGAGGCCAGTTGAAACCTGCTGAGGTCCTGGCTAAGAGTATCAGCATTCAAAAAGGAAGAGAGTGAGGAAATTATTTTAGTCAAACTAGAGAAAATCAGAAATAAATCTTATATGCTCTACTGAAGAACATAAGCTTTTTAAACAAACAAAGATTCACAGACTAACTCACTGAGGTCTGATCTTTTCCTAGAAAAAGCAAACAAGATGCACTCACTGTTTCATGTGTTTCATGCATTTCCTAACTGGTGACAAGGCTGTAACATTTTCTTTTTCCATGGTTCAGATTCCTGCTGCAACTTTACTACCTTTGAATTAAACTGCCATTTTTTAAAGCACCTTTTTGAAGGCAGACCAGCCTAGCAGAAATATTGCCCAAACACCTCTCTTTGCACAAGCTTTCTGCAAAACACAAATAGAATGCTGCTGTTGCTGCATAATGACTTCAAAAATCAACAAGTGCTTGGTTTTAGAGCTACCCCAGACGTGAGGCCTAGTTTGCAAAGTTGAAGTGGTTTTTGGTTTTGGCTGAAATACTGTGATAAGAGGGACTCTGTCAAGCTAAGCACGATCAACTGCTGGCAGGTCAGAACACAGCAGAGGTGGGAATGCAAAGACAAGACTTCCTTCCACTTTGTTTTCAGCCTGTCCAGCTGGGGACAGACTCACCCACTGCCTAAGGCTGACACCTGAGCACTGGTCTCACAAGCAGAAGCTTCAGGGAGAACAAAACTGCCCCCCAACATGGCCACAGTTATGGATAATGTGGGACTGAACCTCGGTCCATTCTTGGGTAAATCTGTCAACAGGGCTTTGCAATCCCCACCTTCTGCTCCTTCGGGAAGGGAAGCAAAGTGCAGGCACTGGGGACACCAGAGCAGGTGAGAGGCAGCACATGTGAGCCAGTATTTCACATACACCCAGTAGCTTCCTATCCAACCTGCATATACACAACACACTGGTTGTTCTCCAGCTCGTGCCTTGCAGTAGAATGAGTAGAACTTTGGGGTACCCACAGTGGTCTGCAAAGTTTAATTTTAATGAAGCCTAAGATTTTGTGTTAGGAAAAGCTGACCCCACCAGCTGCAGCAATGATTATCTTATGCTTTGCCCTGTTTTAAGGAGATGAATGAGAACAGGAACCTACAGCTGTTTGAGAATCCACAGGGGGGACCTACGTGCAGGAAAAAGCAAAGAAATGGCTCTTCCTCACCAGCAATGTTGCTGACAGGAAGGGCAGTAAGTTTGCATGTTGTGTGTTGTGTGTTTCTGTGGAGATCTTGCAGGTGTGAAGATTGTGTCTCTCGTGGGCCATGAGACCTGCGGGGTGTGCTGGGGGCGTGGGGTCACCGTGGCCACCTTGCCGTGAAAACCAACAGTTCCCTCTTTCCCACCCAGTCCTGCCCACCCCCAGCCAGCCCCTCCTTACGGCAAACAGAGGGGAGGGCTCAGAGCGGGGACAGGCACTGCCCCAGCTCCAGCACCCTGATCAGGGCAGGATGTGCCCCTGGCACTGCCCCAGCTCCAGCACCCTGATCAGGGCAGGATGTGCCCCTGGCACTGCCCCAGCTCCAGCACCCTGTCAGGGCAGGATGTGCCCCTGGCACTGCCCCAGCACCCTGATCAGGGCAGGATGTGCCCCTGGCACTGCCCCAGCACCCTGATCAGGGCAGGATGTGTCCCTGGCACTGCCCCAGCACCCTGATCAGGGCAGGATGTGCCCCTGGCACTGCCCCAGCTCCAGCACCCTGATCAGGGCAGGATGTGTCCCTGGCACTGCCCCAGCACCCTGATCAGGGCAGGATGTGTCCCTGGCACTGCCCCAGCTCCAGCACCCTGATCAGGGCAGGATGTGCCCATGGCACTGCCCCAGCTCCAGCACTCTGATCAGGGCAGGATGTGCCCATGGCACTGCCCCAGCTCCGAGCACCCTGCCCCGGGCAGGATGTGCCCCTGGCACTGCCCCAGCACCCTGATCAGGGCAGGATGTGCCCCTGGCACTGCCCCAGCACCGTCAGGCAGGATGTGCCCCTGGCACTGCCCCAGCACCCTGTCAGGGCAGGATGTGCCCCTGGCACTGCCCCAGCTCCCAGCACCCTGATCAGGGCAGGATGTGCCCATGGCACTGCCCCAGCACCCTGATCAGGGCAGGATGTGCCCCTGGCACTGCCCCAGCTCCAGCACCCTGATCAGGGCAGGATGTGTCCCTGGCACTGCCCCAGCTCCAGCACCCTGATCAGGGCAGGATGTGCCCCTGGCCCCGCTCCATCCCCGCTGCCCTCCCCGGCCCGGCAGCCCCGGCTCCCCCGGTGCCGCACCTTGAGCGAGCGGATCTCCCTGCGCCAGGGGCACAGCAGGAGGTTGAGGCAGAGCAGCTCCAGCAGCTCCAGCGCCTTCACCAGGTCTCGCAAGGCGCGATCGCCCCGCGCCCGCCGGCACCGCTCGGCCACGGCGCGCACGTCCAGGGCCCCGCCGTGCCCCGGCAGCCCCGCCGGGCCCCGGAGCAGCCGCCGCGCCCGGGCGGCGATGGCGGGGTCGGTGCAGGGCCCGGGCCGGGCCGCGACCCGCGACAGGTACAGAGCCCGCAGCGCCGCCGCCTCGGGGCCCCGCGCCGCCATGGCCCGCACCGCACCGCCCCCGCCCGCCATTGGCCGCCGCGCCGCGCCGGACCCGCCCACGCCGCTCGCCATTGGCCGCGCCGCCAAGAACCGGCTCTCCATTGGTGATACGGGCTGTCAGTCAGCGCGGGGGCGGAGCCTGGGGAAGAGCTAGAGGAAGGGGGAAGTCACGACCTGGGGGCGTGTCCCGCCATGGGGGTGTGTGTGTCCCGCCATGGGGCGTGTCCCGACGCTGAGGATGTGTCGCGATGGGGGGTGTGTCCCGCACTGGTGCTGTGCCGCAGTGGTGCTGTCCCGCACTGGTCCTGTCCCGCAGCGGTGCTGTGCCGCAGCGGTGCTGTCCCGCAGCGGTGCTGTGCCGCAGCGGTGCTGTCCCGCAGCGGTGCTGTCCCGCAGCGGTGCTGTCCCGCACTGGTGCTGTCCCGCAGTGGTGCTGTCCCGCAGTGGTGCTGTCCCGCACTGGTTCTGTCCCGCAGTGGTGCTGTCCCGCACTGGTGCTGTCCCGCAGTGGTGCTGTCCCGCACTGGTGCTGTCCCGCACTGGTGCTGTCCCGCACTGGTGCTGTGCCGCACTGGTGCTGTCCCGCACTGGTGCTGTCCCGCAGCGGTGCTGTCCCGCACTGGTGCTGTCCCGCACTGGTGCTGTCCCGCACTGGTGCTGTCCCGCAGCGGTGCTGTGCCGCAGCGGTGCTGTGCCGCAGTGGTGCTGTCCCGCAGTGGTGCTGTCCCGCACTGGTGCTGTCCCGCACTGGTGCTGTGCCGCAGTGGTGCTGTCCCGCACTGGTGCTGTGCCGCAGTGGTGCTGTCCCGCACTGGTGCTGTGCCGCAGTGGTGCTGTGCCGCAGTGGTGCTGTGCCGCAGTGGTGCTGTGCCGCAGTGGTGCTGTCCCGCACTGGTTCTGTCCCGCACTGGTTCTGTGCCGCAGTGGTGCTGTCCCGCACTGGTGCTGTGCCGCACTGGTGTTGTGCCGCACTGGTGCTGTGCCGCACTGGTGCTGTGCCGCAGCGGTGCTGTCCCGCACTGGTGCTGTGCCGCACTGGTGCTGTGCCGCACTGGTGCTGTCCCGCACTGGTGCTGTCCCGCAGTGGTGCTGTCCCGCACTGGTGCTGTCCCGCAGTGGTGCTGTCCCGCAGTGGTGCTGTGCCGCACTGGTGCTGTCCCGCAGTGGTGCTGTCCCGCAGTGGTGCTGTCCCGCACTGGTGCTGTCCCAGAGTGGTGCTGTCCCGCACTGGTGCTGTCCCAGAGTGGTGCTGTGCCGCACTGGTGCTGTCCCGCAGTGGTGCTGTCCCGCACTGGTGCTGTGCCGCAGTGGTGCTGTGCCGCATGCGGGCTCCCTCCCCGGCGCAGCGCCGATTCCCGCCCCGAGGCGATGCATCTCTGTTTTTATCGCAGCCGTGCAAAGCAGCGAGCTGGGGGTGACCCACAAGGGGCTCCCCATCACCAAAACCTTACACCACCGGTCCGTTTTAACAAACAAAGGCATCGGCGTTCCTTGGTCACAGGTTACATCGCCTCGCTGTCGGTCAGTGCCCTGCTCGCTCGCTGTGTCTCTCCAGAGAGCCCACAGGGGCAGCTCTGCCCTGCTCTGGGGCCGGGTCCCTTCTGGGCTCAGCGGGTCCCTGGGTGGTCCCGATCTCCCACTGCTGGAATTGCCTTTCCCCAGGCGCTGCTCAGTCCTGCCGGTATCACTCCTGGTGCCTCCTGCCCAGACAGCCCATTCCTCTTGGGATTGTCTTCCCTTTGCCTTAAAACACAGGGTCAGCCAGGCGTAAACACTCTGAAATCACCTGTGTGATCATAACTGTGCAGCTACAGCTGCTGACTGAAATTTTATTTTCGTTGTTAAAGTTTGATTCAGATCCTGAGGGTCTGGATGTCAATGTGAGGGTGTATCACAGGCAGTGAGGGCGTGTCATGGCATGTCACTGTTGTCGTGGGGTGTCGTGACATGTCACAACAGAACAGTCACACCACGCCTGGGGAACAGCTGGAACAGAGTTGTGTCTGCTGAGGTGGCTGACAATGTCCTGGAATGGGTTTAAAAGGAGGTCATGTCCAGCAGCTGGAACACACACCTGTGATCCGGGTGATTTTGCTAATCTTGAATTTGGAATCTGAACTTTTGAGTCACCCCCTGTGGCTACTACGGCACTGTGCACCTGCGTGACTTCCCAAACCAGTGCTGGCACTGGCTTCCCTTGACCTTAATGTTTGTGTGGACCAGTGTCATCAGTGGTGTCTCCACTGACCTGACTGGCTGCAGGTGTGAATTTGACTTCGTGTCTTTTTAATGGCCCATCTTATTACAGGTTGTCTTCATGACATGCCAGGTTTAGAAATGAATATCTGTCTCACTGCTGACCACTGGGAGTGGGTGGCTTCTCCTGATCCACTGAAATCTTGGCCTTGCTTGGCCTCCCCAGTCCTGTTTCTTTTCCAGAGGAAAGTGTCTGTGGAGTGTTGCAAACAAGCTGGTTTCCTCTCTGGCTTTCCAGGCAAGAGAACTTTCCAAAAACACGGGCTGGTGATCGTCATTCCAAGTGACATGTCATCAGGAAATGCTTGTGTAGAATTTCTGTGTGGGTAATTGTTGCATAAAAATTGCTGATGCAGCCAAGAGGGACAGATGCCCCTGGTACCCCCCATGTCAGAGAGAGGTCATCTTGTGCCTGCATCACACAGTAAACACTGAGTTGTCTCTATCCAGTTTCCTTGTACAGACTCCCAGGATGGGATTTATTTTCTGTGTTTTGGAGGTTCTAGTGTTATAAGACTCTGCTCTCTAAAAGGGAAGCTTAATCACTTGCTGGCAAGTGTGTATGGTACCAGTGTGGTACCAATCCCAAAGTAGTTGGACTGATTTCAGTCTCTTGCAGAAATAAAAAAATCCTGCTATGACAAAGCTGTGACAAAATAATCCTAATTTTTACAGGCTTCTTCTGCTGCTTCATTGTAATTTGAATTTAAATTTAAGAAAAGAAGTCTCTCCATTGTAAATATATTGGGCTCACTTGCAGTGTAACAGAATCAGAATCTGTGGGTTTTTTTAAGACTACAGCAAGGCAAGACTCTGGCCCCAGGAGAGAAGGAGGAATTCAGCAGGGAGGAATGGCCACTTCCAGCTCTTCATGCAAACTCCCTGTTTCCTGGAGCTCAAAAGCCACAATTCCAGTACCTGGTGAATCACATCAGGCTACACACCTGGCTCTTCTTGCAGTTGGGCTGATTGAGGCTGAGAAAGGTTTTGGAACAACATTGGTAGAGGATGCTGGAGAACAAATAAGAGGATCAAGGCATTGGAGCCACACCGTGAATGCAGCACCCTGGATTCTTCCATGTTCCTAAAGCTTTAACTCTGTGCCCCTGCTGGACATGGAAGCTATTTTGCTTGTTATTTTTCCTTGCTTTGGTGGAAACGAGAACCTCTGGACCTGTCTGAAATCCAAGCTGCAAATGTCTGATATTCTTATGAGTTTGGTCAGCAGTGTTCAAGCACAGAGTAGTGAGCTGAGGGCAAGGGCAAGGAGTGTGTGCTTTGTTAGCTGAGAAGTTTTAATGCATGAAATGCTGTTGGGAATTCAGAAAACATGGCTTTAGTATCTTATCCATCTACAATTCCCATCTCACATGTAGGACATCACTTCAGTGGAGCTGGAGGTGCTCTCCATATACTCTGGATATAATTTTGGGGATGGGTATTTTCACTGAAAGGTCTTTGCTGTGACAACACTGGAAACCATGGGTCACTAGTGTGCTCTGGGCTATGAGAATCTGTTTCCAGAGGGTACTGGCAGAGCATCTGGGGTTTGGAGAGCTGCTACTGATTGAAAAAACCACAAGTGCCAGCTCCCAGACCATGGAACACCATCAGACACTGTCACACATTGACAAAGAGAGCACATGGGAAGCTCTGCTGGAAGGGTGGGACTGAAACTCGCCCTTTCCATCTCTGGTAATGTGGAATCTTTCTTCCTCCAAGATGTATCAAATATTAATTCTCCATTTCCCCTCAGTTCTAAAATCTCATTTCTATATGGCAGTGAAGAACAGCTTCCTGTTCTCTGTCATGCAAACCCAAGAAAAATAATAACCAGACCATTTAACTTTCTTATTCCTTCCTCCAGGCATCAGGTTCATTAGATTGTAGAGCCTAAGCCTGGGCTGTTTCCTAACAGAGCAGAGGGAAAGGACAGCTGTTTGGAATGTCTGAAGAACAACAGCACTGATTGCATTTGCAGGCTGCTGCTGCTAATTTTTCCTTTTTTTCCTAGCAGTGCAACACTATTGGCTCATATTCAGCCCACATTTGCCTCAGTCTCATCCTCAGACACTCCCCTGCATTCTGACAGGTCACTGTGTGGTGCATTTGTGACTTTGAGCCTGCATTTCTCAAGTGCAGGAATTGCATGTGTGTTCCCTGAATTGCATCTTGTGCTTTCCAGGCTATTTCTCTCTCTCTTCAAATTCCAGTCCTGTCCTCCTACATACTGCTGATTGTCCTAGTTTAATGTAGTTTGTTGATTTTAAGAGGTCCATTCTCTTTGAAATCCAGCAACACTCAGTATTTTCATTAGGACATGCCTGACACATCCTTTCAAACTAACCCAGGGAAGCTGATACATACTCCCTTGTATGATGATTATAATTTTAATTCATAGAAGGCTATGGTTATAATTTTATCTAGAAAGTATTTCTGTAGTTTAGGGAGGGGAATGATTTGTCAGACTGCACCAAGACCAGTTAAATCAGTTTGACGTGCTTTCCATTCAAGAAACAAACCATTACTCACCTTGCTGTGCGAAAAAAAAATGATCTGTTTGAACACTTCTGGGAGAATTGGCCTTTTATTTCCCGGCTTTTCATCTTTTCCCTTGGTGGTATGTAGCTATTTTCCAGTGTCCTGACTTCACTGATTTTCACAGCTACCTGTGAACGTGCCTGTGAGGGTTTCTGATGCTTCTGGAAATCCCAAGAGCACTTCAAGGATAACAGTTTTCACTGCAGCAACTCTGCAGACTCTTCCCTTCCTGCTCTGATCTTGGCTGGGCACACACTGACCCCACTGTTCCCATGGTTGTTTATTCCTGACAAATGTGAAACCCAAATGTAAGTGATTAAAAAACAAGTTGCTTTGTCAGCAGCTGCTCAACTGCCCAATTACCCAGAGACCAAAGATGGGTAGACATAAAAAAACACAGCAACCATACCAAGAGTGTATGTTCTTTACTAAAAGTCCTGTGTAAAGATCAGTACTAAAAGTAGGAGCAAAAGAGGCGACTACAGAAATACAGTATTGTGATCACATGGCAAGAAACAGCGTGGGCAAAACAGTTTATTGGTCATGTCATAAGTGACAGGCCTGTGTTAAGCCTGGGTTTTAGCACTGGCATTAGAATTTTGCAAGAGTTTAGGACGAAATCTGATAGCAGGATAGGAATTTCCTAAGAGCAGCATCAGGAGAGCCCCTGCCAACTTTGCTGAGATTTATCTGAGATCTTAAATATTCTTAAAGAAATGAAAACATGTCCTTATTACATCATTACAACAAATCTCAACACTGTTTGTAGTAGTAGTGTTGGAGGCTGTTGGAGCAGCTCTAGAGCTGCAAACTTCTCTTTGTAGTGTTTTAGAGCTAAAACTTCTCTTTCTAGTGCTGTCTGTCTGCAGAGGTATTTGGTTGGATTTATAAGCTTTTTTTCCCCCACAGCTTTGTTGGATATCACCCAGTTAAAAACACCAACAGGAACAGAGAATTCTAAGCCACTCTTGCAGGTGGTCATGGTAAGGTATCACTGAAGGCAGCAAACTCTGCCTCTAATTCACAGTTTGTTTTCGAAAGATATTTGTTTGTAATGAATGACAAACCCCTGTGTTCAGTGGTAACTCAGCAAATGCTACAGTATGGAAGTGGGATTAATCTGGGATTATTCTGATTGCTTTGGTGAATCTGTGGTATCAGGACGCCCAGACTTTCTGGAGTGGTTCACACCACCAGAGGGAGCAGACAGTGTAGGAAACGCTGCCACTGACGGCCCACATCGCAGTGCTGGGGGTGCTTCAACATCAACTAAAAGATGAAAGACTTTGATTAGTTTTCTACAACCTTCCCAATCCATTGCTGCCATGAAGTAAAATGTCCATCTCCCATTTTCATCAGAGGTCTGCTTAAAATCAGCTTGTTATGTAAATTACAGATAGAGAGTTAGTGGAAGGCCATGAAATCTTTGTTAAAAAGTTTAAAAGCCAAATAGGTCCAAAGGATCCCCCAGCATGCACAGACACATTGTCTGCCACATGAGAAGAGCCCTCTGTGCTTGTCTTCAGAAGAACCTTCATGTTTGTCACGTTATGTGTGAGAGGCTCACTGGGAGGACAAGAGAAATTGTATTTACCTTCTAATTTCTGTTATCAGAGCTCCCCCTGCAGCTCCCCAGTCTGAGCCTGCAGGGAGCAGGGCTGGTGCCACGGCCTGTTCGTGTGCCAGGCAGGTTTTCAGAGGTGCAGGAAGGCACAGCTCTGAAAGCAGCTCCTCCTCTGCACAAACCAACCTCTGTGCCTTCCTCCACTGCTGAGTGTCCTGCCAGTAAAACTGGCAGCATTTCACCCCTGGCCCCTTACAGGTGATGATTATTGCAGGATACTTTGTTTGCCACAAAACTGTTTAGATAGTACTTTATACAGAGGAATTGTTCTCTCTGTTAAAAAATACAAATGTGAAATTCTGCCAATGCCTGCCAGCAGTTTTGCCATGCAAAATGGTGGATTTTTGTTCTTTTGGGTGTAGTGCACTGAGGATATTGAAACTCTTGCTGAACTGCAAAAGAATTCTGTTATTTTAGAAAATACGTATTTACTGTTGTCTACTTGACAAAAAATGCATACTTACCTTATCTCATCATGTGCATATGACTCAGTAATGGTATAATTTATATAGCAGTAAGAACCATGTAATTACTTCCCATCTAAGTATTAATTATAATTGTGTCAATCTTTGGAGTGTTGGATGATGATTACGGTTGAAAATCATTCATATTTACAGAAAACCTAAGTGCAATTTTAATTATTTGGATGATGGTTCCTTTTGAACACAATTATAGGTTTACTATGCTCCATTTTATGTATCCTTTGGTGAAAATGGTAAATGGGAATAGTAAATGAATTCCTTTCTAGAAGTGGTGTGTTTTTTTTTAAATTTCAGTGAAAACACCGGTAAGATTTAGTGGAGATGTGCCTCTGATAACTGTGCTGAGTGGTGCTCACTGAAGATGTAGATACCCAGGGCTTTTCCACTAGACAGAGAATTTAAAAATGACTTAAAAATGTGTAGTGCAAACACAAGAGGGATTGGTTTTCTTGCAATTACCAGTTTCAAAACATCACAGCCAAGAAATTTCCCAAGGGTGCTCTCCCCAGGAAAGCACAGGGCTGAGTTCTCCTGGCTCTCTCTGCGGGTTGTGTCTGTCCTCAGCCAGACTCACTTCCAGATGAGGAGTGGGACTATTCCAGGCAGAAGTGAACAGTGGGATCCAAACTATTTTAAGGCAGTCAGGTGGAAGTGTGCTGTTGTCTCTCACCCTTTGATCTCAGGGCTCTCCTCCAGTCCAGTCTTGCAGTTTGTTTTGCTGGGCCATGAAAAGGAAGAGGGGCAAGCAGATGTTCCTGTCTCACAGATGCACCTCAGGGTGAACAGACAGGATCTCTGGGGTGTGCTGTCCTTTGGAGGTGTACCCAGCAGCAAGGGAGCTGGGCAAGGTGCTGCAGGGCCCTGGGGCTTGGCATCGTCTGCAGGGGGGAAAAGGAGCAAGAGGTGGCCAATGGACCAGCTGTCAGTGTGTGCCCTGCCCCCCCAGGGCCAAACACCCTGCCTGGGGAGCCCTCTGTGGCACTCTGTGTCCCCTTCAGCCAGGGCTGGGGGGGACCCTCACAGCATCATGGAAATGTCCTGCTGTTGCTCCCTGGGCTTGTCTGCCTGCTTTCTTTTCTCAGACCTGGGTACTGCTCTGAGATTTGTGCACACAGTGATGTTCTCTGTTCCTGTGCCCAATCCAGCACCTGCTATTTACATCACACTCACCAGTTCCCAGAGGTCACTGTAGCAAAACTGCCACTCCTTATTGAAAGAAGAGACCGGGTCGTGCCTGAAAATGCATCCTGGGTGGGAATTGGCCTAAAGCATCCTCTGGGATTCCTGTGCCCTTCCCTTGGCTACAGCGAGTCCCCAGGAAGGACATGAAGCTCCCAGGCCTGGTGCAGGTAAAGCCAACTGGTGTTTGAGCATCCACTGCCACTTCTCCATCACTTGCTGATGGTTTCTTTGAGGAAGACTTACAGCAGGCTTTGCAATGGTCTGGAAAGACTGACACCAAGGGAAAAATGTGGCAATCCAAGTATTATTCTCCTTTTTTTCCTTTGCTTCTCTGTGGTACTGTTCATCACCATTTTTAGGCAGTGCCTTTTCTCTGTACACTGAAATACGTACTTAGACAAAAAAATCACTTAAAAATGCTTTGTTGCCAAAAAATGGAACAAAATGTGCTCGTGATACCTCTAATGACAAGAAAATGCTCTTTTTTTCCTTCTGCTCTAAAACATGCAAAGTGTCATAACATCAAAAGTAACTTGTATCTCCATCAGGAGTGCCTGGTTTCAATGTGTTTTGAAGTGCTTCAGGAAGGTCGGGTGTTCTGCTTGTCACTGCTGCTCTTTCATGCTGTGTGAGGTCATGGAACACTTTGAAGCACAAAGAGGGAAGTTTAGGGAAACTTTAAAAAGTCACTGTAAAAAACACAACCCCGTTGCATCCCTGTTGAAAGATATAAAATAAGTAAAACTTCCAGAGGTTTTGTTCTTCCATTTAAATGTTTTTGTCGGTCTGAGTTCTTCAGAAGTACTGAAGGAAAGAGCCACTTCTATTCATGTGATCTGGGGTCTGATGGTGGAGGAATTGCTCTGTACCTCTGCTGGGACACGTGGGATGAGGATATTCTGTTCACACCCCACTGATCTGAACAGGGGCACAGCCTCCAGGGTGAGAGATGACAGAGATGGATGGAATGGGCTGCTGAAAGTCCTGCAGCCTGACTGCAGAATTTGCAGCCTGTCCTGTAGTCCCAGATGCTGCTTCCTCTTCCTGGCTAATATAGATATTTATAGATGTTTCATTCCCTTGACAAGGGTCCATGAGAGAATATGGGGGGGGATCATCTGTGGGAATATATATTTGTGTTGCTCCTGGCCCCACACATTCATCATAGCTGAAAGAAAACAAGGAATTTTTCATTAGACTCCTGTGGAACAAAAACCACAGTACATTATTTTCAGAGTAACAAGGGCAGGTAAAGTGAGAAGAAAAGGATCAGAAGGTGTTTTGTTCCTCAGGCCACATCTTTGCTTGCCCTGCCATGTGAGACAATGGAGAGCATAATCCCTAAAAGCACATCTCCAGATCCATACAGACGATCCCAGAGGTGCACAGGCACCGTAAATATGATGCAACCACAGCTCATTCCTGCTCTCACCTGCCTGGAAGAGCCAAGTTAGGCAATGGCTGGGGGGGAAGGGAAGTGGTGCTGCTATTTAATCATGGAACTTTGATGGAGTCTCAAGTGCAGTGTCACTGAGGGCTGTCCTGCTCACTCCCAGGCTCTGCTGCTGGCACATGGCTGGGCTGCAGACCTGTGCTGGCAGGGGCAGAGCTGTGATGAATAATCCTGACTCATGCTGGTCATTTGAGGCTCAGCAGATGGCCCATCACATCCCTCCCAGAGAAGAGGGATGCAAACAGACAGATCTGTGGGGTTTCCATCAGGAGCCAGCTCAGGTGGACCCAGGTTTTGTGGTTCTGTCTGTGCCACCAAGCTGGTGCCAGGGGAAACTCTTCATTCCCTCCTCACTCTGCTCTGTGTCCTGGTGGGAATGCAGACAGGCTGCTTGGATGGCAGCTTGGCCTGCACTGCTGGACCTTGATGATCCTCATGGGTCCCTCCCAGTTCAGAGTATTCTGTGATTCTGAGGACAGCAAGCCTGGATAGACCAGTCTGTCTTTGTGTTTTGCCACGTTGTGTGTTGCAGGCAGCAGATGGAACAGGGAATGCACAGGATCCCTGCACTGGTACTGGAGCTCAGGGAGTGCCCTGCAGCCCCACCAGGGCTGAGCAGAACTGCTCCCTCTGGGCTGTCTCTGCTGCTCCCTCTGGGCTGTCTCTGCTGCTCCTGTGTCTGTGCAGGGTTCTGCTCCCTCTGGGCTGTCTCTGCTGCTCCTGTGTCTGTCCTGGCAGCTCCTCTCTGCCCACACACCGACCCTGCCTCCACTCCAGCCATCCTTCAGCTCCAGAGGGCTGAAGGAAGCTCCTCTTTTCCCAGCTCACTGGCTACAGGCAAGAGTGAGACAGAGCCATAACACCATGACCTTAAATGTTAGACTTGCCTTGTTAAACCATTTCAGGAGCATTTTATATCCCATTCTGAACAAGGGTTTCCTGTAAAAAACCCACCTTTGCTTACTCAGTTAACCTGAAGAACATTTGTCTGGAGGCAGAAAAATTGAGATCTGCAGGGCTATTAAGATGTAGGATATTTCCTGAAGCTTGGGATATTTAGCATGTGTCTCCTCAGCAGGCTGCAGGCACACATTCTGCCCCTGACTTGTGTCCTGCCAGGCTAAATAGAGCTAATAAACCCTCCTGGCAGGCTGTGGGTGCTGTGCCTCCTGCAGCCCAGCCTGGAGGCCCTGCCTTTGCTCAATCTTAGCTTTTCCTGGAGTGCCCCTCATGATTTTCATACAAATAATAGGTTTTGATGCCATTGTCCCTAGTCCAGGTGATGGAAATGGTTTTTTTTGGCAAGGAAAAGGTAAGAAAGTGAAGTCATAGTTTTGGATTATGAAACTCAAATATCCGTAAGTGGTTTTATGTTTACACCCCTTTTTTCTTATTTTTATATTAATGAGGACAATGGCTTTAAATTCAGACTAGAAAATTTCCATTTCCCCATCAGAAAATGATATTTAAAAACATAAGTCTGTTCTGAAGACCCTGACTAGGGCTCCCAGCTACTTCAGAAAAAAGTCCCAGCATATAGGAATTAGAATTATTTTGCTTTATAACATGTGAAAAAGATTTCACCCCAGCCTCTACTAAATACACTAAACCTTTCAAACATACCTTTTAAAAGTAGTCTTTTAAAAGTTGTTGGACTTAAGTCAGAGATCAGGGACTTGGTGTCCTCAACTCTCCTTGAACTCAGTGAGAGTAAAGGGAAGGTCACTCTTTTTGCAGGGTTACTTGCTGTGAGCTGCATCTTTACTTCATTTACATTTTGCTGACCCAAAGCCCAGTGAATTTATTTAAAATCTTTCCCCAGATTTTGACTGACTGAATCAGGCTAATGAAGAGCACTTAGTGTTACCACAGCAGAAGAGTTTCCATTCAGAAAAGCCCACAGGAGTTTCAAGGTGGAAAATTTTCAATCCTTTTTTGCCAAGACACAAAAGCAAAGAAGCTTCTCTGTCTCCTGATTCTGGGCCCGGGCCCAGCACGTGGGAAATCTGCCACTGAGCTGAAGGAGAAGTGGGCACAGTGGGCACTGTTTCTTCCTGGTGTTTCCTGATCATCTGCATTTCCCTCCCTTGGATTTAATTTACGATCTTTCGTGAGCCACAGCCTGGCTTTGCAGAACTGAACTGCTCGGTGGGATAAACAGCAAGATGAGCTCTTGTCAAGGTGACTTTTAAGTGTCGAGACAAATGGGTACAAATGATGGTATTCAAGGCCTGGCATTTCAGTGTTTAGTTCCAAATATTGATATATTAGTGTCAGGGCTCTTTTTCTTCCCATATATGATGGCCAGAAATAATGATCTCTTTTTCTCCAAAAGCAAGTAATGTTCCTCCCCTCATTTTTGGCACTTAAGATCACACTTAAAAAATTTAATAGGGTAATAAAGGACACATGCCAGACTTTCAATTTAAATGGCTTTTTGGCACCTCCACAGCTTTACCTACAGATTGTTGTGGCCAAGAAGAGAATTGCAAACAATTCAGAGAGTTGTTAGGGGTTTTTTTTAAATAAGTTTTTGAATTAGCAGTTTATTATCTCGATGTTCAGTTTCCCATGTGCTTTTCTATTAAAGGTGTCTCTGCTTGTAGAGCTGTCACTGCAAACAGCTGGTGCTGTTACTAACAGTGAAGGCTGCAGACAAGGTTCCTGGTATTCCCTGTTAAGGATAAAATGGAGGTGAATTAAGGTCATACAAGCACTTCATTGTTCTCCTTAGCTTCCAAGTGTTTCCTGGTTGGATTGGTTTTGTTTGCTTGTCCATTTTCTTTACTTCTGTTGGGATTTTGTTTGTTTGGGGGTTTTGGCTTTTTTGTTTGTTTATTTTCCCCCTTCTCTTTAACAGCATCAGCAATGTGGTTGTGCTTTCAGAGTGCTGTTGTAGAGGTATTCCTGTAGTCCAAATAATATATTATAAATACTACAAGCATGAATTTTATTTTGCAGTTTCTCCTTCAAAAAGACCTTAATGTCTAAAGATATAAGGCTTTATGAAATCTTTTTCTTTATTGGAGGATCTAAGCAAGTATTATAAGAAGTAACACAGTTGCACAGGCATCCACTGCCCATGTGTGTTTGTGGTTGGGAAATCATTCCTTCAAAGATTTAAGGGATTACTTATTAAAAAGTTGCAGTAGCAAGAATGTCTTGCAGTTGATCAGCATGTATTGATGCCAGTGATAATGGACCAAATCCTTCCTGACACCTTAAAGTGAAGCTTCACCTTTGAGGAGAAGAGGTGGAGGGACTCCTGCGTTCCAGTGCAGGGAGCTGTGTCCCAAACCAGTCCTGCAGTGTGACCTCTGCACCTCTGACACAGCCTTTGGGGTTCTTTCTTTTCACTTGTGAACTAGACCAGAATGAAGGAGCTGCTTTTCATCAGCTGGTGTGGAAACCTCGGTACCAGAGGGGCCAAGAGGTGTCTGCAGTGATGGACAGCACTGAAAGGATCCAGGGCATCCATAACCACCTGGGATGTCATCCCTGAGATTGGAATGACAGTGTTACATATGGGTCCCCCCAGTGTGATGACTAATGCTGCTGGTTCCAGCTGGGAAAGGGGCAGCTGGAAAACCCAGGACGTGCAAAACTGTGGTGTCAACATGAGCCAATCCTGTGTCAGGTCTGTTCATCTGGAGAGACTGAGGGGAGACCTCCCTGCAGCTCCAACTGCCTGGGCAGGGGCAGAGGAGGGGCAGGACTGAGCTCTGCTCTGGGGGGACCAGGGACAGCCCCCAGGGAATGGCTGGAGCTGTGTCAGGGCAGGCTCAGGGTGGATCTCAGGGAAAGGTTCTTCCCCCAGAGGGTGGTTGGCACTGAACAGGCTCCCCAGGGCAGTGGGCACAGCCCCAAGGCTGCCAGAGCTGCAGGAGGGTTGGGATGATGCTCTGGGGCACAGGGGGTGACTCTTGGGGATGGGCCTGTGCAGGGCCAGGATTTGGATTGGATGATCCTTGTGGGTCCCTTCTAGCTCAGCACATTCTGTGACTGTGAAAGAAGTGTCCCCTGCCCTGCTGTTATTCCCACTTGCTCCTTGCACTGCTTCCTCCAAACCGTGATCCCCAACCTGGAGCTAAATAGGCAAAAAGTTTGTATGTGTGTGTTTTTTGGAGGTTCTTGTTTGGCTTTTGTTGTTGTTGTTGTTGTTGTTTTTTGTTTTGTTTTGGTTTGTGGTTTTGTGTGTGTGTGTGTGTGTTTTGTTTGTTTGTTTGTTTGTTTGTTCTTTTTCTTTTTTTGGGTATATTTTTTTGTGTGTGGTTTTTCCTGGCCCAGATTTCTCCTGATTTAGGTGCCTCAAGATAATCACATGGGCATCAGGAACACAGGAAGAGGAGAGATGGAGTGTGAGAGATGGAGGAAAGGGGGAGATTTGAGACCACAGCTTACAGATAAAACATTTTGGCCAGTCCTAAAAGTGCAACCTCAGTAACTGCTGTGGGAATGAGCCATATATATATTTGTGTAGTGTGTGTACACTATATTTATATATAAAATACGTGAATTTATATACATTTATATATAATGTGTATTTATAATATGTATAAACACACACATATATACACATATATATATATGTTTTGCAACTGAAACTGCAAGAGCATGAAGCCTGTATGACTTTTAAGTAGAAAACCAAAAGTACTTGCTAGACTTTAAAAAAAAAAAGCAGACAACAGTACTTATATAATATGTGACAGATTCAG